TTCTCTCTCATATCGACAATAGTCTTAAGGTTTGTTGTCTTTAATATTTTGGAATTATCTATTTTGTTCTGTCTCTATGGACTATTTGAACACCATTTTGCTGTCTTTGTTCTATTTATAATAAATGTTCATTTTCTTTTGCTGGTCAGGATACATCTCAAGGAACTGAAGCTGGGGCTTTAGTTTTATATATCGGAACAGATTTGATTGCACTCACTCAGCCCTCTCAAATGGATTTGATTGCACTCACTCAGCCCTCTCAAATGGCCGATTGAAAGTGGTTTTATTTGTCTTTGAAGCCCCTGCTTTGGTATCTGAATCCTGACATTTGAAGTTTCTATTTCGACTTTTATGTACCTTTGAAGTTCTTGACATTTTGAACAAGCAATTAGGTAACTTTGTTTCGCATTTCTGATGGTTTGAAACAAGCGATGAATTGGTATCTCTGTTTGCTATATCTCATGGTTTAAAACAATGAATTGGAATCTTTGTTTGATTATCATTTCTATCTCGTTTCTTTTTCTCTCTATCTTCCAAACACAAAATGTTGGTTTACTTGTTATTTTGAGATGACAAAAATCACACACAATAAAAATGAGATTAAAGAAGCAAATTCAAGACACATTTTGTACACAATCCAACTTCAAACTCACAACATCTCTAACACAAATGAGAACTAATCTAGCTCATAAAAAGCTTCCCACAAATCCATCATATTGTTCCTGCAACTAACAGTGTGATCCCTACTTTTTACACACACTTTTTTGCCATCTCTCGAGCCATCTTCTGCATCGTTTCATTAACCACTTTTATCTCTTCTTTCGTCATCTCGTCCACCTTCTCTTTGATATGTTCTTCCATCTTGCGAATCATTTTGTTTGGAAGCTCCAAGTTCTCCACCAATTCTTTTCTCAATTCTTTCACCTCTTGTACAAGCCTCATATGCTTTGCTTCTACCATTCTAGTCTCATCGAGCAAGGCTTCATCAATCCACTTGAAAAGATGTTCCTCCATTTTTCTCTACAAAACAAGAAATTTTTTTTTTCAAATGAATATGACTATCTGATATACACCTACATATGAGTACCTATTGATTAGATTGTACCTGCAAGGCGACCTCACATCTGTAGAATCTACAAAAAGGATTCTCATTTGTTTGAGAAACATATGTGACAACTTTTTTCCACGCCAACATCTTACTGGAACACCAGTAACCGACCTTCGGTTTGTCAACCGAGATGAAGCAGACAACGAAGTGCTCATTGTCCCTCTTTCAAAAAAAAAATCAACAACAAGACTAAGTACAAGATGAAATCAGAATGAGCACAGAAAATGACATCAAAAACTAATTCGTAACTAACCTTGCTTGCTGTCTTTTCTTTGAAGATCGACGAACACCAGATGATCGACGACAAAACTGATAAATTTTTGATTTTCTCCAATTCGATTTTCGCACTAAAAACCCTCATTTCCTTTTTAATTTTGACATTCAAAGATGGATCGCGATGAGAAAATTATGTCAGGTAGCATTTTGCAAGCTTGGGTCGGGTTGGTTTTAGTATTTGAGTCACAAGCGGTAATCCGGGCAATCACCGTGGATAAATGTGATCTATATTATTATTTGCGAAGTCAGAAACTCACCACAACTCCTCTCAGAGGGGTTAGCGCCTTCTGTCCTTGGTGGTAATTTTTGGATTTTAATTAAATCGGTTAGTTTGGTTTGGTTTGATTCTCAATCACATATTTCAAATCCTAATAATATTAACACTGGTTTTGGGCAGTGGCCCACAAATCTAATTTAATGAAAACCCTAATCTTCTAACCTATATATATATATATATATATATCATTTACCGGAGCAAATCCACAGCCACAATTACTGGTTCCTCATTTATTTAATATTTTAGCATCCTTAGTTATCATTTAATGATACAATAACACATAATCGCTTAACAGTTCTAAACACACAACATGACAATCACACAATCAAACATGCAAAACATTCAACCAACCCTAGCAATCCAACGATCCTAGACACCAACCACAATCATGCACTCACCTTAAACAAGGTTGGAAACAGATTATTCAGAAGAAATCCCGATGAAATCCGCGTGGAAACGAAGATATCCGATCACCCTAGGAATCTCTCGGCTCTCGGTACGATCCGATCTCTTTCCCCTCGGCTATCTCTCGATCTGTTCACCTTTCTCCGAGCCAAACTCTGTTTACCCTCGGAAACCCCACAAAACACGACTATTAGCTCGAGGTTATACGATGAAAACTCGACACAAAGAGAAATATCCGATCGCTTACCAATTTATCTCGGCGATGGTCAGATCCGTACGGCGATCTGTCAATCTATCTCGGCTATCCTCGGGATAAAATCTCCTTTCTAGGGTTTTCTCTCGACCAAACTCTCTCTTTGCTTTATTTAACTCAATTAAACGCAACACCCCCGAGCTAAGTCTCAAAAACACCTTATATACTCGCAATACCCTAAGTGACTCGGTCTAAACCGATGTTTTTATTTAGTGTATTGTAATAAATGTAATTAGCTTTATGGTATAGAACAATTCAATCTAACATAGTTTAGTGAATGAATGATAAAATGTAATGCACACGGGAAATTGGCAATTTAGTTCAACGACAGATAGTGTTGTTGTAATGAACAATTGGCCATTTGTATTCTAAGTGACTGGCGTGCCGTTATACGCAATGGTACGACACTAAGATTACCATCTTAAAATTTCTTACCTATTATTCCTATTCAAGCATATACCTGTTGTTCTAAGTAACATTTTTTTGTAGAAGAGTTTCATGTTTCTGATCATGTCGGCGTCTCGAGAGTTTTGTTCAACCCTGATCTTCAAGAGGCACATGAGTTACGAGATATGCTGTAAGATAACTATATTTAAAAAATAATAATTATTTACAACGTATGATAATGATTAACTGTTTTTGTAACTACTATGTTTGTATATGCTTGAATAGGATTGGAGAGAGCGAACAAGAGGATGCAGAGAATGAAGAAAATTATTTGGATATCGACGATTAGTAATATAACGCGAAATATGTTGTTTAGAAATGTTTTTTTAGGACTTTTTATGCTGCTATTTATTGTTAGTGTAATGCTTATATGGTCACTCATTTTGATTAATTAAACTTCGCTTTGATTTTTTTTTTCTAAACAAATTTAACAAACATTCGATTCGATGTCCGCGCCCAGTGCGGACCACCACCTAGTTAAAAAATAAATAATTAGAGAAATTTTTGTTTGGTTGCAAAAAAGATTGTGTTTGGTTGCAAAAATAAATTATTTATGTTTTTAGCCATTATTAAGATTTAAAAATTTTCAAAATTCTGAGATAATGATATATAAACCACTAATGCTTCCTGTTTAATATATGTTAGATTATCAGCGCTAAGGAAATAACTGTATCTGTGTACGCTATTTATAAATCATATATATATATATGCTTTAATTCTTTTCTTTGTTTTTTCTTCTAACAATTCGTGCTAATCGATAATTAATAGCCTATGTGGACTTGGTCGAAACCCAATAATATATTTTCGAAAAAAATCAACCTTAGTAAATATCCTAGATTAATAATTTGTCTCCAATAATATATTTTCGAAAAAAACTAACCTTAACAAATGTTCCAAATCAATAATATATTCGTATCTTGCGAATTTGACCAAGGTTGGTTCGGCTTCTTTACCAGTTTTTTAATTCAATTTTTAATATTTTAAATACAACAGAAATGATACGAATTAAAAGATGATTAAATACCATAAATTGATTCTATTGGCTGTAAAATACAAATCACAAAGAAAACAATATTAGTGCATGGATTCAAATGGACGAGTCATGAAAGTTTGTGATATGTTTAATTGATCTGAAAGTTCAGCTTTATAGGAAAATTGATCCGCAAAGAAAAGCATTAATGAGTCAAAAAATTCTTTGACATTTAAGAAAAGCTTGATTTGGAAGAAGAGATGTGGACAAAACATTAACAAGTAATGGAGATTGGGTTTCCTCCAATGGTTACCTCTATTTTTAACTTTAAATAGAGAATATTCTTATTATATTCTATTTTTATTTAGTTATTAATTTATTATAAATCTTTTGATTTTATAAATATTTAAGTTTTATCCATTTATTGTATGTGTTTAACAAAAACTAAATAAAATCATAATTTCATTTAAACCAAAATTTTTTAAAGAAAAAAATTTACTACAACACATAAATAGAAAATAACTAATATTATATTAAGTATCATCAATAGTAGATTTCTTCTACAAATGATCAATTAACAAATTTCAAAGTGAGAAATAAGCTTTTTTATTTTATTTGTCTGTGTTTGAAATAAAAATAGAGTCTCATTGGAGATTTTCTAAGTAAAAGATCCGAACAAAACATTTGACAATTAAATAAAAAATCCATTTACGATTATTTAAAATTTAAAATTTCATTAAAGATTAACAACTAAATATTGAAAATTAAGTAAAAATCCATTTAATAAAACATTTGAAAATGAAGTATAAAAATATATTTAGTCAAAATTTGGCAAAATTAACAACTAAATAAGAAAATTTCAGAAAGTATTAGCATGCTGAAAATAATAAATGTTTATATTGGTAAGAATGTTCTTTTTGTTGGAAAGAATGAATTTTTGAAGATGAAAGATGACGTCTTTTTAAGTTTCTACAGTACAAATTTCATTCTTATCATCTTTGTAGAAATTATATTGATAAGAAAGAAATTTTGAAGATATCATCGTAAATCAAAAAATTTTGTATGGTATTTTAATGTGATCTGTCAATTTATTAAAATGGTATTAAAATCTAAACATTATCTGTCATTTTATTAAAATGGTATTGAAATCCAATCATTCTTCTCAAATCAACTATAATTAGAACCATCAGTCCTTAGCTAATTCACTCAGTGGTTTACAATATTTATTTATAATAATTTATACTGTAGAAACTATAAACGAAAAATGACATCTTCAAAAATTCATTTTGTTGTTCTTTTGATCATCATTTCTTTTATTGTTAATGTTCAATCCATACGTAAGTTTTCTTTTTCATACTAAAACATTTGCATACATTTTGTATTATACTTATTTATATTTATGCTCATCTCTAATTGTTACTAAAAGCTTATAATAGTTATAATAAGCAGGAATTATGGATGCTTCAAGTGATTGTGAATCCAAAAGACTATGTCATAAAAGAGAAGATTGTAACGAACGTTGTGGAGTGGGCAAGCCACCTTTTAAAGCAGAACGAACGTTGTGGAGTGGGCAAGCCACCTTTTAAAGCAGCTTTGTGTGAATCTTGTGGAAGCCAAGGTCTCGTATGCTGTTGTATCTAAGAATTTACTAAAATTATGTATGTTTATGCATAAACTAAAAGATTTTATCAATAAAATATATTTACATAATATAATTTATTTATGCATGTTCAAGATATTTTAAATACTGTGATAATTAACTAACATTAAAAGACCAATAGATGATCATGAATAAATGATTTATTTACAATGATAGATGCAAGGTTAAGGTTTGTTTATCTATGTAACATTGTTTAAATTTTCCTACATTTCTCTTAATACAATCAGAATTTCATAGTTGTGTCTATCTCTTTGAGGTTTCGAGTAATATCTAATTCACTGTCAAAGCTCTCCCCAAGCTGGAGAGAGAAATGGAGGAAAAGATAATAAATAGTGGGCCAGTTAATAAGTTTAATGATTCACTTCAATTTGAGCCTTGAAACATATGTTGATATGCAGTGTTTCATATTGTTAAAAAAATCACTATAAAACCCAATTTCCACCAATTCAATCTAATACACTTATAAAATTGATGATTGAATTGAGCATAAGTTTATATGATAAGAATGAGATGAGAATCAAAGAAGAAAACAGAAAGGAAACAATGAAAAATGACATAAAATATCATATAATTTAATAGAGATTTTAATTTTTTATTTATGACAATTTTATTTTCATCTATGATACAAAAAAAAATATTTTGGTATAGTATAAAACGTATTTTGACTACAAAAAAAATCTACAATTAGTTAAATATGTTTCCTTAACATATAAATACTATTAGGTGGTTGGCCCGCACACATGTGCATATATGATCTTTTTAATATACATAATTATTTATAATATTTAAGTATTTATTAATTTTCTCATACATTCTATAAATGTTATGTTTATATACATATTCAATGTTAGTATTTAACAACAATCACACAGATATTTCATATCATTTGTACTTTTTAGAACTGATTTATTTTAAAACTTTTTATTTTTACCATTTACAGTGACATATAATTGCAAATATAAAGTTATATAAAATAATAAATAAATTTTTATAATATGTTTTGAATATAATCTATATTATGCTTTTTTCCCCTTACACAATATAATCTTGTCAATATATATATTTTAAGTGTTTGTTTTTCATTGACTTTTTGCTAATTTAACAAAAATGGGTTCTATCATCTTTACTTTATCATTCGTGCGTACCAACCACCTCACCGCTCTTAGAACAAATAAAGGTTTAAAAAAATATAATTTGTCCAATAACTAAAATTAAAATTGGAGTGTATTCGATGTTAACAAAATGCATGCACCATAAATTCGCACGCGACTTCGATTTTTGTACAATTAGTATACCCATATTTTTGAAAAAATCAAAATATAGCTTTTATGTGGTAAAAGAAAATAACAAAATATATATTTTGTAATATATATATTTATAATCTATGGTTGAATTTTAAAAAGAAATAAATACGTATATTTATGCATGTAAGTATGGGTTAGGAATAAGTGATTTGTAATATTTAGGTGTTGGTTAGTTTTTTCTGATATTTTTGCAAATGTTATGTTTTTACACGATGCAGTTATTGGCGTTTAACAACAATCACGAAAACTATTTTTATCGTTTTGTATTTAATCAAAAATTTCTTATCTTTCAGCGTTTTATGATATATGGTTTCAAATTAAAAGTTACATTAAATGTTAACAAAAATTACAAATAATGTTTAAAAAAAAAATCAAGATATAATATTTGACTTTATCATGTAAATAAATATAGTATATTGGATAACCTATTATTATTTTTCTTTTCAATAAAAATTGTAATAAATATTTGTTATAAAATTTATGAAATCATATTTTATAAAATTTTCTGATAGTTCTCTACTCATCTCTTCGTCTTAAGAAATTGGTTTGACGGAGAAAATAAATTTCTTATCGTTGGACTGCTTTATTATAAAATTTGACATGCACGTTCGTTTATTATAAAATTTAGGTACAAATAAAAGATTCTCTCAAACGACGGATCTAAGCTCAACGTCAAGGTCATCTGGCCATGCCTAGTGTTCTATTGTTGAAGTCAGTGGATGAGAAGGAATCTTTCGCGGTGACTGTTTCAGGCTCAACCCAAAACTGCTTTTGTCTGCGAATCTGATTTGGTTAGATGACACACATAACGTGAGAAGCCACACTGTTGTTTATACTAGTGACTGATGAGGCCACATCCATTCACATCTTTCTGCCATCATCATCACTAAACCACCATTGTTGTTGTTATGTTACTATATATGTGTGCTTTTGTTTAAAGATGCTTGATGTTTGGGAATTCTATGTGTTTCAACATGAAGAATCTTGATGTTCTTAAATATTTTCAAATAGGTTTTAAATGACAATAGGGAACCCGAGAAAACGCTGGAGCCTGGAGGAGAGACTGTAATTTGGGTTTTACCGTAAATCTTTTACGTTAGGACTCTGTGATTAATATGGCCCACCAAAGTCAACAACACAATTTTTGATACACTCTGACTATAACTATAGAAATCAAAAATATATAAATATCTTCTTGTGGACCAGTAAGAAAGTCTATCTTCAAAAATTCTCTGCACGCTCTCTATCTTCAATTATTTTCTACATCCTTCTCTGGTTTGATCAGATCGGTAGATTTCAAAATGGGGAATTGCTTCTCCCTCTCGATATCGTCTGATCAATCGATGAACAAAGTCTTTCAATGGCTAGACGACAAAGGAAGTTATGTTCACAATCTCGAGAAGAATCTTGCAGCCCTCGAGACAACCATCGAAGAGCTCAAAGCTAAGCGAGATGATTTATCAAGAAGGGTCACAAGAGAGGAAGACAGAGGTCTACAAAGGCTTTCCGAGTTCCAGGTATGGCTTACTAGAGTTGAGACTTTCGAAAGAGAAGTCAACGATCTTCTTAGTGCTAGAGATGCTCAACTTCAAAGGCTCTGCCTTTGTGGGTTTTTCTCTAATAGTTTAATGTCAAGCTATCGTTATGGGAGAAGAGTTTTCTTGACGTTGAAGGAGGTTGAGAAACTTAAAAGTAGAGTTTTCGAAGTGATTGTTGAGAAAGATCAAAGATATGAGGTGGAGGAAAGACAACTTCAACCAATAATTATTGGTCAAAAAGAAATCCTTGAAAAGGCATGGAACCATATCATGGAAGATGGAGTTGGAGTTATCGGTTTGCATGGTATGGGTGGAGTAGGAAAAACAACGCTTCTTGCACAACTCAACAATAAGTTTACTGACCTAAGATGTGGATTTGATTTTGTAATTTGGGTTGTGGTGTCTAGAGAGTTACTGGTAGAGAAGATACAAGATGAAATTGCTCGCAAAGTTGGTATTGTTGGAGAGGAGTGGAAACAAAAAGAGAGTAGCCAAAAGTCCGATGTTATATACAACTACTTAAGGAAAAAGAGATTCGTCTTGTTTTTAGATGACTTGTGGGAGAAGGTAGATTTAGTTGAGATTGGAATCCCATTTCCAACAACACAAAACGGATGTAAACTGGCATTCACCACTCGTTCCAAGGCTGTTTGTGCGTGCATGGGGGTCGAAGATCCAATGGAAGTCAAATGCTTAGCGGAAAATGACGCATTTGATTTGTTCCAAAAGAAGGTTGGGAAAATAACACAAGGGATCGATCCGGAGATCCCCGAACTTGCAAGAAAAGTTACTAAAAAATGTTGTGGCCTGCCACTAGCGCTCAATGTTATAGGCGAGACCATGTCATGCAAGAGAACGGTGCAAGAATGGCGTAGCGCGATAGATGTTTTGACTTCATATGCTATAGATTTTTCTGGCATGGAAGATAAGATCTTGCCGCTTTTGAAGTATAGCTATGATAATCTTGAAGGGGATCATGTCAAATCTTGTCTGCTATATTGCGCTTTATTTCCCGAAGATGATAGAATCCCTGAGGAAAAACTGATAGATTTATGGATATGCGAAGGATTTATAGATGGAAGTGAAGGTATAGAAAGAGCTGAGAACAAAGGCTATGAGATAATTGGTTTTCTTGTTCGTTCATCATTGTTAATGGAGGTTGAATGGTATGGAACAAAGAACGTGTGTATGCATGATGTTGTTCGTGAGATGGCCTTATGGATCGCATCTGATTTTGCAACACAAAAGGAGGCTTTCGTTGTACGTGCATGCGTTGGGTTAAATGAAATGCCAAAAGTTGAGAATTGGAACGTTGTAAGAAGAATGTCACTGATAAAGAATGAGATTCACAATCTCTCTAGTAGTCATGAATGTCTCGAACTCACGACTTTGCTCCTACAGAAGTCGAATCTGGCAAATATCTCGAGTGAGTTCTTCAAGTCCATGCCAAGGTTAGTTGTTTTGGATCTGTCGTATAATGGGAATCTCTTTGGATTGCCCGATGGAATATCACAACTAGTTTCTTTGAAATATCTCAACTTGTCATATACAAGTATACGTTATTTGCCAATAGGTATGCAAAAGTTGATAGCCCTAGCTCACTTGGATTTGGAGGAAACAGATAAGCTTTCGAGTGTAGCTACTATATCAAGTCTGCGTAATCTGAAAATACTGAATTTGTCACGTGCTGGTGTTTCATTGGATTGCGACGCAATAGAGGAGCTGGAAACCTTGGAGCATTTAGAGATTTTAACCATAGACATCGATCTTCTTCCAAGTTTGAAGCAATTTTTGAGGTCTTATAGGTTGACGTGTTGCACACGAGACCTAACGATCAGGAGTGTGCATCTTGAATCATGTGGGATATTACTTCCGGTAACTATGAACAAGCTTCGTGAGTTCAACATTATATGGTGTAGCATCTCTGAGATAAAGATGGGAACGATGTGTGCTAAAAGCAAGACGGTTTCTCCTCTACACAATCTGAGTAACACATGTTTCTTGAGCCTCTCCAAAGTGATTATACTGGAGTGCAAATGCCTTAAGGAATTGACGTTGCTGAGGTTCGCTCCAAATCTTAGAACTCTCTCTGTTGGATCTGCGAATCAACTAGAAGATATAGTAAAGGAAGAGAAAGGCTGTGAAAAATCAGGGATTGTTCCTTTTCGAAAGCTGATGTATCTTACTTTGGCTGATCTACCCATTTTGAAGAATATTTATTGGAGTTCATTACCTTTCCCATATCTTAAGAGAATCGATGTAATCAGATGTCCAAATCTGAGAAAGCTTCCATTAGATTCCCAAAGTGGTAAGCAAGGACTCATCATAAGATACACAGAGAAAGAATGGATTGAAAATGTGGAATGGGAAGACGAAGCTACAAAAACTCGCTTCTTACTTTCATGCCTACAAGTCTAAAATTTCTCCTCTTCTCTTATTAGATTTTGAAGGTTTTTTTTTGTTTTCTTGGTTTTTAGCTGCTTCAATCTTTAATCTCTCTCTCACTCTCTTTCAGTTTGGATTGTAGCCACAAGTTATAACGGGTCTCTTCTGTGACAGCTAGTTCGAATTGATGTAGATTTATTCCAAAAAGAAACGACGTGGGATAGTGGAATTAACAAAGCAATTCTATTAACATTGAATAATGTTATATTAAAAATTCTCATTTTGAAATTGAAAAACATAAAAATAAAAGAATTAAACTGAAGGATGGTAGGGACCGCGCGAACGCAGGCCCTCTCTGCCACAAATAATGACCTTAGGCTAAGCACCCTTCCTTTATGTGCAATGGAAGTCACTAGCCTAGGCCACTCGTCTTCATGATTACGAGTTGACCCCGTCCAGGTAAGTAATTTGATCAATGTCTCCACTTCCCTTCTTATACTCTGCTTCCCCATCTATTCTAGTTATCTGTAAGCAATGTGAGACTTATTGTTTTTACATATCTCACTCTCATACAAGGCTTGAAACGTCAAATATTATTGTTTGCACATGGGCCGGACGCTATAGGCCCAGTTAAGTGTTTGAGAATCTGCAAATGAAAAAAAAACGAACCAATAAGTCTAAGTTTGAGTAAAAAGAGCAAAGGGGAAGCAAATTAGTGAAGAGATTAATGAAACAAGAGAATCAAAACAAAAAGAGTAATACCACCATATGCTTCATCGATCAAACTACTAGTGCTCTTGCTGCCTTCCTTGATCTCGTGAAGTGTTTATTGACATAATTATGAGGACAATAATGTATGAAGAACATCTTAGCTTAGTAGAACTTTAAGGACGTATGTGGATATCTGCATTGAAAGTTGAAATCTCCATGAAACGTTATGTAAAATAATTATTGGCACAACCATATATTTCTAGGCCATACCTGTTAGGAGAGAACGGCTAATCCATGCCTGAACTCAAACAACCTGTGCTAATCCATACCCAAACTTAGACACCACGCTTAATCATACATTAAATTTTACATTATACAACGCCATAGATGCTGAGTCATAGTGTGTTAAAACCATATCGTTTTAGTTTTTTCTTTTGTTACAAATTTATCAAGACGACACCTTTTTGATTAAAATAAAACAAAACACAAAAACCCTCATCGTCGAAATTAGATGTCGTCGTCGTCGTCGTCTGCAAGTTTTTTTCTGGACAAAATTCAACACCAAAATTGAGAGAACAAAGGGGAAAAACTCGAGCTGCAAAAGAGGGAGGCAGCAGTGTTGCTGATACAGAGTTTCAGGAGTTTGAAGAGGAAGCTCGTGTTGAATCTGTTGTGAATGTGTTTTGTAATGACGAGGAGAATGAAAATTATCGAGATACACCACCCATGTTGATAAGACAGAGCATCTTCGTAACAACATTCATTGTTACTAAATGTTACTAATCATCATAACAGTAAGCTTACAGAAGCAGCAAAGTTTTCATTAAACACATTCTTAATAACAAAAATCCATTACACTTGATGATCATCATATAATTAGTAAACTTGGAAACAGTAACAACGTCAGATGATATGATGATTAAAGACCTCAACGGCTACTTTAATTTGCTGAGAGAGGGATTGGTTTCACAGCGCTTTGAATCCTTTGAAAAGCTACTCTTACTCTTTCCTTAAGACCTTCATGCTCACTCTCAACATCTCCACTCTCTTTATCGAGCTGAGCGACATTGCCATCGACACTAATCACCAGTTTCCCATTCTCTCCTAGCTTCACATCCCCAAAGAGCGACACAAGAAGGGCGTATATCACTTTCTCGACTTTCTTCCCGTTCTCTTCCTCCGATTTCACAGCTTCTTCTTCTTCCACCATGATCTTGGGGACTTCCCTGCTGATGTTGAGAACCAGAGCTACAATGGAGTCTGAAACCATGTCGCTTATCGGATCCGAAGACCACTGAAGCGAGATGTGCTTCTCTGACTCTTGTTTCACCGTCACTCTCTCGTGTACTTTCAGTGCCGGAAGCCCTGTTTCTTCGTCTATCGATGATTCCACAGTCTCGAAAATCTTCCCGAGGCGATGTGTTATCACACCGAAGGCTCCTGAGAAAGGGATAGTGATCCGCTGAGTAACAGTTGCTGTTGATAGCTGTGAGAAAACATGGAGATCATCAGGCGCCATTATCTGATAAGTGAAACCTTTCTTCACAAGAATCCCGCTCACTGTATCTCCAGCACCAGGCGTCTTCTCCGCCAATCTCCCAATGGTTTTCGCCATTTTCTCCGAGTTGAAGTACATCTCAACGGACTCGCAGTTCTTCGGGTTCATGATCCTTGTGTTCCCATCTGGAAACTCCGTGAAGAGCTTCTGTTTCAGCCTCATCATCTCGTTAGCTTCGCCGTGAACAAGGATGATGTTCGGAGGCATGAGCTCTTTCAAGAAAGTGCTCGTCTCCGCATAGTCCGCGTGAGCAGAGAAGGAGATGTTGTGAACTTGCATGTTGAGAGGAGCAGTGAGACCGTTCATAAGAGTCACCTCCTTAGGTTCAGTGATTATCGTTTTCGCTAGCGTACCTTCCACCATGTAACCAGGTATGATGCAAGCGTTCTTCTTATCTGTACACCAAATGTCAAAGAGCTGCCTCGAGAAACCGCTTTGAAGACCTCCAGGACTAGCCATAACCACAGACGGACCAACGTCTCTGAAATCATCGATGCTGTTCAACGCAGAGATGTGTTTGAACACAAAGGGATTTGAATTCGCAAACTGGTTCCTGATTCTGTCGTTCATGGATAAAATGTAGGTTTGGTAAACCGCCATACACTTTTTCGCGAGCGGTGAAGCGTAGTAGATCGGGATGTTGTGTAGATCCGGGTGGTTAGCCCAGTACTCGTCTAGAATCAAGAGAAGCTCCTGTGCACGGCCTAAGGCAAAAGCCGGGATCAGGACACGTCCTCCCTGAGCAACTGTTGAGTGGATTACATCGGTGAAGCGTTTCTCTCGGATGTGACGAGATTGGTGAATCTGGACACCGGAAGTTGATTCGATGATGCATATGTCAGGGGAGAACTGAGGAAGCTCGGCTGCTCTTAGATGACGGTCTTCCTCACGAGAATAGTCGCCTGTGTAGAGGATTCGGACACCGGCTATATCCACCATGAACATGGCTGCACCCAAAACATGGCCTGCCGTGTAACACCAGAACTTTATGCCGTTCACTTCAACCGTTTGATGGAAATCAATCACCTAGAGATGAGTTAAAACACAAATCTTTTGAACTTAAACCTTAACTCAATGGAGTAATCAAGGCATTAACATAATGATATGATACAATGTTGTTTGTCTAAACCCATATATATTGTGTCATTGATTTCGACTTGTAAGAAGACTAAAAAGACGAGCTCACTACACACCACACATTCAGACGACTAAAGTGATCCTTTGTTGGATTCTAAACAGTACACTTCAAGCACACACAATACTTTAGTTCCAACGTGACAGAGACATCATTTCCAAAGCAAAATAATAGGCTAAACAAAAATGCAAGAACAAGTGGTAGTAAGATGCGAATTGTCAGTACACACCTCGATTTTATCCATGGATTTGTTGATGTCTTGTTCATCGAAAAGCATGTCTTCCACTGACACTTTGCTAACTTTTACATAATCTGTAAGAAGCAACTTGTAGATAGCCTTTGTGGCGTGTGTCATGAAAACTCGCCCTTTGAATGTTGTCTAATCACAAAGAAGACTAATATGTATTAGTTCCAGCTAAATGTTAAAGGCACTGAATAACAAAATCATTCGATGAGAGAGAGAGAGAAACAAACCCTCTCGAGAAAATAAGGTAGGGATGCTGCATGATCCAAATGAAAGCTGCAACAGAGAAGGCATCAAATCTTAAACTAAGTAAACAAACTTCTTCAAGTAGACAGACACAAAGAACAAACTCCACCCTTTTCTAAAAGCTTGAACTAATCCATGTCAACATCAACCATCGCATCCTAATCCAAGACATGTTTCCTCAACACATTTTTGCCTTCGTTTTCGTATAAAGAAACTTAAAGTTTGAAGATTTTGCTCTACTAACTTCCAAATTCAACTCTTTAGATGAGAAAAATCAAACATTTGCCCCAAAATTTTGATGGGTATTAGCAAAAAGAGCAAGAAGATAGTAAACATACTGAGTAATCAACAGGACATCAATGGTGGAAGGATCAATCTCATCAAAGTAAGGTAACGCAGCCATTCCTGAATACGCAGGGTGAATCCCACAATCAAACTGCACAAACACAAACCGAATCAACAATAAACACATCACCACCACACCAAAATCAAACCCCTTTACACAATGGGGTACATTAGATAAACGAAGAAGAAAGTGACGGAAACTGACCAGAATCGTTTTGCCTCTGAAGGACATGTAAACACAGGAACGACCCACTTCGTTCCCGGCGCCTAGAGGAGTAACGATAAGCTCATCTCCGTCTCGAGACATTGGTTGCTCTCGTCTCTTGAGAGAAGTAGAAGAAGAAGCCATTTTTGCGATGTCTTTCTCCTTCACTAGAGAGATTTCACTAAGAACAGTGGAAGAAAAAAAAAATTAGTGACTTCGTTCAATCTGTTTTTATGTAACCCTAAAAGATTGGGGAAGAAAAAAGGGAAAAAATGACGACCACAGTGGGAGTCGAACCCACGACCTTCTGATCCGAAGTCAGACGCGCTAATCCACTGCGCTATGCGGTCATTACATGATGTTGGTCGAAATTTCCTATAATATTCAGGAATTTACAACCTTAACAATTTTATTCTTTTATACCGACAATACCCTTCTGTTGATTCCATCACCAAAGATCGGCGAAAGAAGAGACAATTTCGAAGCTTTCGGCGATGATGGAACGAACGTACGGCCGCCGCAAACCGGGGATGCAAAGGACACTTTCCGACTCATTAAACGACTCTGTTTCGCAGTCGGAATATCTCTCTTCTTCTTCGTCTCTGTCACCAGAAATCGAGCCTTTCTCCGGTTTCCCTTTCTCCAGTCAAGACTCATCCTCTCTCTGGAATTCTTCTTCAAGATCCACTTTCCTGGATGATGATTTCTCTCAGAATGACGGCGGCGCACGGAGGGCCAAGAGACCCAGAAACGGTGGTGGAGCCTTCGGTTTGACTTCGACTTTGATGGAAGCGCAGGAGTTTGGCGAATTGATTGAGAACGAGGACGAGGTTAATTTCGCGCTTGATGGGTTGAAGAAAGGGCATCAGGTGAGGATCAGAAGGGCTGCGCTGTCGTCTTTACTGTCGATTTGCGAATCCCAGTATCAGCGACGCTCTTTGAGGGCTCAAGGGTACGTAAAGGTCTCAGCTTTCGATTTGTGTCTTCTCTGGGGTTTGTTCTACATCGAATTCTTGGGAAATTTTCTGAATTGGGTTGTGGGTTTCGTGTTTAGAGATTTGTTCGAGCTTTCTGCGTTTTGGGTATTTTCAAATAGTGAGGATTAGGGCACACTTGGGCAAAGCTATGCATTGTAGCTCTTCCTTGGATGGATTTGATAATAATCGTTGAGATTACCGAAGGGATTAGAGTATGAATGGGGTAGTAACTAATGAGCATTAATGGTTGAATGGTGAAGTCACCTAATGAAAATGTGTGTTGGTGTTACCAATATATCTGTCATATCGATTGGTTTTGGTTCAGTAGATGAAAAGTCGTATGTGATGAGTCTCACAAAAACTTTGTCCTATATTTATGGGAGTTTCTTATCTTCAGGATCTCACAATCCATAATCGATGCGATTTTGGGTCTCAGCCTTGATGACGTACCAAGCAATCTTGCTGCAGCTACCCTTTTCTTTGTTCTAACCGCTGATGTAAGCGACTCACGTATACTCTGCATTATGAAATATTATCTGTGGTGTTCTTTTCTCGTGCTCCGTTGGCATTGTCTCACTTGTTTACCGTTTCACTTTCATGACTCTAGGTTCGAGATGATCACTTTATGGAGTCACCCAACTCCATCAAGTTTTTGATAAAGCTATTGAAACCAGTGGTTTCCGCCAGCACTAAAGGGAAGCCCCGGAACATAGGATCTAGGCTCTTATCAATAATCAAGGATGTTGATTCAGGACGTGATGCAGCCAATACGAATAATTCAAGCTCCTGTGATATACTGTCCAGAGCTCATGAAATCCATGCTAACTGCAAGGAGTTTAGATTGATTGATAGCTATAAAACTGAAAAGATGAGGCCTGAGCTAAGTACGAAATGGGTTGCTTTGTTGGCGATAGAGAAGGCGTGCTTGTCCAAAATCTCTTTCGATGGTACTTCAACTTCTTGCCTGCATTGTTGAAAACAATGAATAACTAACTATGTATTATAAAATTAAAAGTTTTGTTGTCTCCAGTGATTTGTTTTGGTTGATGTGACCAGTTAACAATATTTTAATGATCCATGTCGTTTGTTCTCCGCCCATCCAGATACCTCTGGTACTGTGCAAAAAAATGGAGGAACGTTCAAGGAGAAACTGCGAGAACTTGGAGGGCTTGAGGCAGTCTTTGACGTTGTTATGGAATGTCAAGCCGTAATGGAGGTGTGAACCTGTATGTTTTGGGGGTCTTGTTATCCCTGTCAAAAGTTTATTTTATAAGATAAGAACCCCTCTTGGCTTGGTTTAGGACTTTGATAACTTGTATAAAGTATCGTAGATTGTTAGCATTGTAATTGTTTAGGTGTTTACAGGATTATCTTTTATACCAATCCAATTATTTGCTGTCCTCCTGAAAGAGGGATCACTTGTTGACAGAACACGGTTTCGTGCAATTGTGACTAATGCATGTTTTGTGTGCAGCGCTGGGTAGCAGAGGACACACTGTCTGTCCAGGATATAAAAGATGAACTGAATAAACAGAGTCTGATATTGCTTCTGAAATGTCTGAAAATCATGGAGAATGCTACGTTCCTCAGCACAGAAAATCAGGTAGCTGTGATATACTTTAGATTCCTGTCTTCACGATAGCTCTGCATCTGGAAAAAACAAAAACAAATAATTGTAAATATTATTTCTTTCAGAATCATTTGCTAGGATTTAAGAACAGTATGGGTTCTCATGGATCACGACTGTCTTTCACAGAGCTCATGTTAAGTGTCATCAAGATGCTTTCAGGTACAGAATGCCTAGTTTTGGAATTTTTACCATGACTTTCTCCCATGTTATCATCTCTTATTCTGATGGCTGATGAGACTGATTACACCAGGTCTTCAGTTACGTGCTCGCAGGAATGAAAAGCATCCTCACCCTCACTCTGCAAATGGTGTTTATCGTGAGTCTATATCGGGATCAGATTGTAAAGGTATTTCATTCTGATAGCCACTAACGCATCGTCACCTCTATGCCTCTGTCGCTTTTTTTTTTATGTTACTCTCTGTTCAGCCACATTTTTCTTCTGCAGTTAACAAGGAGGTTATGACGATGAGTTCAGATACTTGCTCCATTAGAAGTGGGAGCGTATCCAAGAGAAATCAATCTGCGTTCCTGTTAGATTCCTCAGCTACACCAGTGTCGGGGTCTCAATCAAGTGTAACATCAATAAATGATTCCGGCACGTTCACAAAAAGAGCTGGTTCCAACACTGGGTCGTTTGCAGGCAGATTAGCCTCATTGGGTAGTGGCATTTCCAGATGCAGTGCAAGGACTAGTCAAGTTAGAGAATCCAGTTGCAAAAAAGTTAAAAGCTTTGCATCCTTGGAGGATAGTCAAGATCCTTTTTCATTTGATTTGGAAGATTCAGGACCTTCCAAATGGGCAGTAGTGCTAGGAAAGCAAAAGAAATCTAAAGCTCAAAAGAGGAAGGGAAGCTACAGAGATATTAAAGATGAACATTCACATCAGCTCTTCTCGAGCCAGGAGGAATCAAACCATAGATTAAATTCTCAGGAAGAATCAAGCGATAGAGATCGCAATGTAACGGAGGAACCACCATCTTCAACATATGACGTTGATAAAGAATGTCTCTGTCTTTTATCTGATTGCCTTTTAACAGCCGTGAAGGTAATCTCACCTTTTATGACAATCTATTTACATATCTTATGTTGCCCCCCTTGCTACTTTCTGATGCTTTGAACAATATTTTCAGGTTTTAATGAACTTAACGAATGATAATTCCGTTGGTTGTCGGCAAGTTGCTGCCTGCAGAGGACTGGAGAGCATGGCGGAATTAATTGTTGGACACTTTCCTTCCTTCACCAGATCTCCTCTTTTCAGTGAGATGGAAATGCCGGGGACGTGCAACCAGAAAGATAAACATCTCACAGACCAGGAATTAGATTTTCTTGTTGCCATCTTGGGATTACTTGTGAACTTGGTGGAGAAAGACGGAATAAACAGGTACCAAACTCTCTCTTCTTCTCGGTTTGTCTTCTATGCAAATTGGAGAAACTCTTGACTGATTACCTAATGTCTTCCAAATTATTACTTTGTTTTAGGTCAAGGCTTGCGGCAGCTAGTGTTCCGATCACCAATCCAGAAGGGTTGCAAGAGAGTGAACAAGACATGATTCCTCTGTTATGTTCGATCTTTCTCACCAATCAAGGCGACGCAGATACCAAAGAAGAAACGAGTACTTTCACTTTGGTTAGTAGCTAATCACGTGTATTCTTAATGGATTTTGAAAGGCAGTTAGAAGAAAGAATGTCTTGAAACCTGCCTTTTCCTCATGTTTCAGGACGATGAAGAAGCAGTTTTAGAAAGCGAAAAGGAAGCGGAAAAGATGATCGTGGAGGCATATTCTGCTCTTCTACTCGCATTCCTATCCACAGAAAGGTTATTTATACATTCCTTTCTGCCTCTATTAGGTATCCTAATTCTCGAAAAAGCTGTAACATAGTCTCTTATTCTTAGCAGTAGAAGTATACGCAATGCCATCAGAGATTACCTCCCAAAACGCAACCTTGCTATTCTTGTACCTGTGCTGGATAGATTCGTGGTACGTGTCTCTAAAACCCTTTCTAATTCAATCTTTGTGGCTCCTTTTGTAACTCTATAAAAGTATACAAGACTGAAACCTTGTGATGTGACGACTGTGTTCTTTGCTCCTACTGTGTGTTGTGGTTCAGGCTTTTCATACAACACTGAACATGATCCCTCCAGAGACTCATAAAGCGGTGATGGAAGTTATCGAGTCGTGCAAATTGCCATAGAATAAAAAGACCTTTTTTCAGTGTACAGCTTATTGCAAAACTCTGGGTTTGCTCCAACACTTATACGTACGTAGTGATGACACAATCAATGTTCATGGATCAATGTATAATATAGAGAGACACTACAAATATAGAGTTTCTTAGTTCTTTTTAGATGTTTTGTTTCTCTGGTTAGGCTTAGGGTTTATAACTCAGGCTCCATTCTTTTGTACTTCTTTTGTTCAGTATGTGTCTTACGGAGAAAGAACAAAAAAGGGATTATACGGAAATAGAATGTTTCGTGTGAGCTTTTTTTTTTTGCTTTCTACTTGTGTTTGACAAGAAAACCATATCTATTTATGTGATATATCTGAAATTAGTCAAATTACCAATAGTACTATTTCAATTGTTTCTTTTAAGAGAAATTGTACTGGATCATATTAATAGCAAAATTAAATGACAGAAATTAACTGTTTATTTTAAAAAGATTATTGTATCTTTATCTACTTGTATTGTAAGAAAAAAGAAAAATAAAAGAAAAAAAGAAAAAGAAAAACGAAAAAGAAAGAAAGAAGAAGATGAAAGAGAAGATGGGGCAGCGACGTTGATTATCGGTTGTATTGGTGGTTTTGTTGATGGTGGTGGTTATCGGTGATGATGATAGTCACCGGTGGTGATAATAGTGGTCGATTATGGGGGGGTGGTGATAATAGTGGTCGATTATGGGGATGGTGATAATAGTGGTCGATTATGGGAGTGGTGTTGGTGATGATCGGTGGTGGTAATGGTATTGTTGTTGATGGTGGTGATGAAGTCACCGGTGGTGGTGGTCGATGATGGAGGTGGTGGTGGTGATAGTCGGTGATGGTGATGATGTTATCGGGGGTGGTCGTCAGTGGTGATGGTGTTATCAATAGTGGTTGGTGGTAGTGGTGGTGGTGGATGACAGTAGTAATAAGTGGAAGATGGTAGACAGCAGTAATAATAACGTTAGTAATAATGCTCATAATTGTTATCTAAGTAGTCATCACAATAATTTTGCATAATTTATACAGTTAACAAAGTTAACTCTTATTTTTATGAAATGATATCAATGTTAGCACAATAGTTAGCATACTCACAAAGTTAACACGATAATTTTTTTGATATGATAATATTGTTAACATAATAATTTTGCATAACTTATACAGTTAATAAAGTTAAAGCGATATTTATATAATACCAGGTGGTTGCCTGCACATATGTGCGGGTATAAATTTTATTATATACATAGTTAATTGTAATATTTAAATGTTGATTAGTTTTTTAAAACATTGGTATCTTTGTATATATATTGTTTTAATATTTCACAAATTTCTTTCTGAAACCAATGTATTTTAAAAACTTTATTTTTATAATGCTTGTAATAATATATAATCACAAATATAAAAATTATGTTAAATAATAATAAAATTTGTATAATATTTTTTAAATATTTCTATAATATGCTTTATTTCTCATTACTCAATCTACAATATGTTTTTTTGCGTCTTACATAATATGGATTTGCAAATATATATATAATATATTTTAAGTATATATTTTTCTTGATTTATTGCAAATTAAACTGAAATGGTTTTAACATTTTTACTTATTCTTAAGAGCGGATAGATGGTTGACACGCATGTGCGGACATACCAACCACTTCACTACACTTAGAATAGATAAATATTTTTAAAAAGAAATAAATTATATAATAATTAAATAAAAATTAGTCTGTAATCAATCTTAACAAAATACATGCATCGAAAAGTTCGCATGTGACTTCAACTAATGTACAATTAATATTTATGTCTGTGGGCGTATTTGTAAAAAAATTGAAATAAGGCTCTTAGGTGTTAAAAAGATTTTAAGTGACTTTGTAAAATAAAAAGCGAGAGATTTATTTTTATATACTTCTATTTTTATTTCTTTTTCATATTTTTTCATCTTATTATAATTTATTCTTTCGTTCGTTTATTTTTCATTTTATTTATGTTCTAAAAATTTTGATATACAATGAAAATAAATTTATGTATATATATACATATGATATAAAAATTTATTTTTATTTAAAATATGATAAGAGATAAGATGAGATAGTAACATAAGTTATGTACATTTTAGAAAACAACAACAAAAAGATGATAAAAGTTATAGAAAAATATATGGTCCTATTAATATTATAAAATAATAATTAGTATATACTTTATTCATTTAGTTAATATTGGTTTGAAAATAAAAATTATTTAAAATTACATTTTAAAAAAAAAAATCAATAAAAATTTATTATTTTTAATATTTTTAACATTTTATTCTTTAAATTATTTTTATCATAATTGTATTTTATTTAAATTGTATTATTTAATAATTTGTTTATTTAAAAGTTGTTTAGATGTTATTAATATATTTTGTAAATTAATAACTTTCCGAAATAAAAATATATCATACTTTAAGTATTATTACTAGATAGAATTTTTATTATTCTATTGGATAATTTAGTATTATTTTTTCATTTTATATGAAATTATAATATATATATATATATATTGTTGAAAAAATTTCGTAATTATATTTTATAAAATTATGAATATATGTAAAAAAATAAAATTATAATAACTTTTATTTCCTGTTAATTTAAATTTGTTAATTTTAGTGTTATAAATATAATCTAGTTTATTTATGTTTTAATTCTATAATTTTTATAATTTTAATTCAACTAATCAAAACATTTCGTTTATTTTAGGAAGTTTGTTATGTCACAATTACATGTCATCAATTAAAAGCACTAACTTTTGTTGTAGTATTGACAAGTCAGCTATTTTTAATAATATTACTTCTCAAATAATATGTAGTAGATGCTAATCGAATATCATATTAGTTAGCACAGTTAACACAGTTAGCACAATACCATATTAGTTAGCATGATAATCGAGTTGTTATACATCTAAACCATATCAAATAAGTTTAAGGACAAAATAGTCATAATTTACATATATAATATGTATCAATTTAATTTTTAATTATTGGCTCTATTTTTCTAATTGTCTGATTATTTTGGATCATTTACTAAAATTTTCCTTTTTTTAATGACAAAAGATTTGAAAAATCAATTTTTTTTATTGTTCTGGTGATAAAAATCCGATTTATTTTTAAAATCAAAGTTTTGAATTTATTTTTTAATCAAAGAAAAATATGAATTTTTGGCTTAACTCTCAAGTCTCAACCAAAAAGGAAAGCTTGTTTTGCAATATTCTGAACATTCAAGGGTTTTTGTCATAAATACTAAAATTTACATTTTTCTTCCTTTTTTTTTGGTATCGCTCTTCTAGACTTCATCTGCTTCCTCGACAAATCAACATACTTTCGATTCTCTTCTATATCTCCCTCTTCCTTCTACTTCCGCCGCCCGTCGATCTCTGAAACAAGTTTCCGGCGATTTCTTGGCGTCTTTCCAAGTGAGTTCCCTTCCAACTTCCTTTTTTTCTCTTTTTCTTCTCTTTCTCTCCTTCCCTTTCTCCGCCGCGAACCATAAGTGAGGGTTTCTAGCTTCTGGTCATCCCCGACCTTACCTATTTGAATCGAATTTGATACCCATACGAGAGATCGATCTTTCTCCGGCTCTGAATCCGCCAGATTTGAGCTTGGAGCTCAGATAGGTTTCGCATAGCCCCGACTGGCTTTTGTTTGACCGCCGCTTCGCTGATTCAAGATCTCTCGTATGGTTCTCAAATTCGATTCATACTCTCCTTTGTTTATTAATCTTCTCATACACTTTCTCCTACTGTCTAATACGCAAACAAAGTTTTGAAAATTTCTATTTCGATTCTCTCTTCTAAGTGAATTTCTATTCCCAATCCAATTGGTTTGTCCTCTGAAGGGAAAATAATTGGGAAAATTGTCCCTTTTGTAACTCTATATTTCTTTGAAAATTCATCTCTTTTGTGTTCTGCTTTCACAAATGTTGTTTTTGTTATTCATTCAACTTCTAATAATTTCAGGTGATAGTGCAAAGCCAATTCAAAGTTGTTTTAAAAAGAAATTCTCTCTCGTGAAGCCTTTCCTCAGAAGCTATGGTTGATTTAGATGACTTGCTTTTAGAAGCTGCGGGGAGAACGAATGCACCAGCAAGAAGCCGACATTCTCATCCTCCGTCGTCTAGGAGACGTGAAGGTTCTTACTCTGACGGTGGTAGCGATTCAAGGGACGATTCCGATGAAGACCGTGGCTACCCCGCGAGCAGGAAACCATCAGGCTCTCAAGTGCCTTTGAAGAAGAGGTTAGAGGCAGAGAGAGAAGACCGAGCTGCTCGTGATGAAGCCGGTTATAACGACGGCGCATCTGATCGTGAAGGCGGCGACAGCAGCGAGGAATCCGATTTCGGTGATGACCTTTACAAGAACGAGGAAGACAGGCAGAAGCTCGCCGGGATGACTGAGTTTCAGAGAGAGATGATTCTCGCTGAGCGTGCTGATAAGAAAGGAGATAAGAGCTTCACGGAGAAGCTTAGATCGAAGAGGGAAAACGAGAAGACGACCCCTGTTTCGAAGAAGGAGACTACTACTCAGCCTCTTGCGTCGGCTTCTCGTGGTGTGCGGTCGTCTGCAAGATCAGCAGACCGAGCGGCTGCAACTGCGAAGGATGATATACTGAACGGACTGAGGGCGAAGCGTATGAAGCAGCAAGACCCTGCCACTCTCAGGAAACTCAGAGATGCACCTAAAGGCGGTTCAGGTAGCAGAGATTTCTCGTCGACGAAGAGGAAACCGTTGGCTTCAAGCTCAAGCCAAAGTGACAGTGACAGTAGGTCTCAGAGCGACGATGAAGGCTCCAATGGAGGAATGCTAGATAGTGATGACGACAGGTCAGATGTTCCCACCTTTGAGGATGTTAAGGAGATCACGATCAGGCGGTCTAAGCTTGCGAAATGGCTAATGGAGCCGTTCTTCGAAGAGCTTATCGTTGGCTGCTTTGTGAGGGTTGGGATCGGGAGGTCGAAGAGCGGTCCTATTTACAGGCTCTGCTTTGTGAAGAACGTAGATGCAACGGAACCAGATAAAGCTTACAAGCTAGAGAACAAGACTACGCATAAGTACCTTAACGTTGTTTGGGGAAACGAAACCTCTGCTGCTCGATGGCAGATGGCTATGATCTCAGATGGTCATCCTGTGGAGGAAGAGTATAGGCAATGGGTGAGAGAGGTTGAGAGAACAAATGGTCGTATGCCTACGAAGCAAGATGTGTCGGAGAAGAAAGAAGCGATCAAGAGGATAAACAGTTTCGTCTACTCTGCGGAAACGGTGAAACAGATGTTGCAGGAGAAGAAATCGGCTTCTGTCAGGCCGATGAATGTTGCGGCGGAGAAAGACCGGCTTAGAAGAGAGCTGGAGAATGCACAGAGCAAGAACGATGAAGCGGGTGTAGAGAGGATCAAAGCGAAGATTAAACATCTCGAGGCGTCACAGAAGAAGAAAGGTGTAGATAAGAAAGCGCTGAGACTCGCCGAGATGAACAAGAAGAACAGAGCCGAGAATTTCAAGAACGCGTCAGAGGTGAAATCTATTACGGCGAGTCTCAAGGCGGGTGAAGCTGGATATGATCCGTTTTCGAGGAGATGGACACGATCATCGAACTACTACAACGGGAAAAGGAGCGCAGGAGATGATGAAGCGGCGGTTGCAGCAGCGATTGAGGCCAGTGGAGCAGATGCTGCAGCGGCTGTCGAAGCGACGGAAGCAGCTTTAGAAGCGGCTGCAGAGGCAGGGAAGCTAATAGACACAAGAGCTCCAATAGGACAAGGCGCTGAACACAATCTGCTTCACAACTTTGAGTTGCCGTTGTCGCTAACGGCGTTGCAGAAGTATGGAGGACCTCAAGGAGTACAGAAAGCGTTCATGGCGAGGAAACAGGTGACAGAAGCTACAGTGGGATGCAGAGTTGCTGAGAACGATGGCAAGAGACATGGCCTTACGTTGACTGTTAGTGATTACAAGAGAAGGAGAGGTCTTCTTTGATTGTGTGGATTAGTTATCAAAGTCTTCAGTGTTTTCATCATCTTCTGAAAACTACTTATTGATTCTTCTTTTCTTCATGTTTTTGTTTGTACTCAAAATGTTTAGAGCAAGTTTGATTTTTCCTAAAATATTTTTGTACTCGTTTTTACAATGTAAACTTTCCTGATCAGTGTATGACTGCATGAGATTAGAAATGTCTTATGCCAGTCTTGAATTTGATGAATTTACTGTTTTTTTCTTTAATTGAAACACTTTTTTCCGTCAGCCTCACAATTAAATTTACGGAGAAAACCCTAATTGGTAAATCCAAATCGGTAGAGAAGAGTTTTACAAATTAATTCGGTAAATCTGAGTTTGAAATACTGAAAAAACAAAAATTTAGAAAATATATTGATTATGTAGTTTGGTTTGGTTTAGAAGATGTATTGGTTAATGATCCTTTTTACTTCCTTCACAAAAATTTAGAAGATATATTGATTATGAAGAAGATGAAAACTTCTGATTTGATTTTTGTACTAATACCGACAAACGCATGTAACTTACGTCCTATATACTATTATTAAAACAAAGTAGGTATTTCTCTGTCAAGCTTGGTAACGTACACAAGCGAACAAAAAAGGGTTAATTTGTGAAATAACCACATTACACCATAAAATAAATAATATAACCATACTAATTTTATAATTAATTCAATAATTAAAAACTTTAAAATTTGTCTATTTTACCCTTCAAATAAAATTTATAAATACATTATTATAATATACTATATCAATTTATATTACTATACTATACTATATATAAAATATTTATATCTTATGAATTATATAGGAGTGAGGACAAAATGTAAAGTGACAAGTGAGGGTAGAGGAGAAAACCAGAAGGGAAAGAAAGGAGAAAAAGAAGGAGTGAAGAGGAGAAAAAAGGACGAGAAAGAAGAAAAAAGGAGGGAAAAAGAAAAAACAGGAAGTAAAGGAAAAAAATAGAAGAGGAATAATTTTGTATATATTGTAGAACATATACAAAATACTATAGTCATTGATTTTTATGGTTAGTTTATCTATTTTTCAGTTTAATATAGTCATATGATCCAATTTTTCAACAAAAAAATGCTTTTATTCCTAATTTTTTTTATAACAACAGATATGATTGTTATATAGCAAAAAAAAAAAAAAAAAATCTAAACTATAATTTTAAAATTTAATTTTTCTTTTCTTTTTTTTTTCAAAAAATCGCTAACCAAACTTTCAAAATCAATCATCTTCAGTAGTTCTCTCTTGATGGATAAGATAGCCAAATCACTCAATTTTTCTTGTGACATAATCGAGCGAAGATAAGATTTTCAATTTCAGCTTTAAAAAACTTCTCTCAGCAGATGCAACTAAAACTGGAATCGTTAGTAATATCTGATGAGCAATCCATGAATTTGGATAAAAATCTTCGACACTTTTCATAAAGTCTAACATTTGAATAGGTCTCTTAACGTCTTTTGGTAAAGCTTCTCTTAGAAGCTTAAGCTCACAAAAAAATCATGACTAAGAATAACTGAATGATTTCCAAGTCTTAGAGAATCTTCAAAATTAGCATAAGAACCCATCAAACTATCATTACTCGCTGACTTCAGCTTTTTTAAATCAAACAAAAATGCAAATATTTTTTTATACCTTTGGAATTATTCAAATCTCGCTTCAAACGAGTAGAGAGCTTGATCCATGATTTGGATGAAGTAGCCAACTCTAAAGCTCTCTTCAGGTGATAATGTCACACATCCCTCAACGTTCTCTGAATCGTTCCCATAATGTTTTTTTCTTTTAATGACCTGCTTTGCTTTATTGGGAAATATAGCTTCAATATCCATAGATTCTGCAAGTACTTTAGCTTCTGATTTTTGCTTTCTCAAAATCTGAATCTCTATATTTTTGAAAATAGGAAACCAGCCCCTTCAGTTGAGAGATAGCTAAATCAATATCCATGTCTTCTGACTTCAAACTCTTACTCACAATGTTAACAGCAGATAGAAGATTGTACCAAATAACCATGGAAACCAAGAACTCAAAACTCCCATTTCCATGAGTTTCACTTGTTGCAAGACATTCAGCTTCACTCTGCTCTTTCAGATCATCACTATTTTCAGCAATGTAAACTAAAGCATCCATGATTTTAGGAGCTTGAAATCTTATTGCCTTAACACTTTCAATATGACTCTCCCAACGAGTGTTTGATAAAGACTTAAGTGTTAGGCCACCGACATAATCTTCAAATATTTTCCACCGCTTATTTGAAGCTGCAAAGAAGCATTAAGTACGCTGGATAATCCCAAAAAACGAGATTGCTTTTGAAGATGTGGCTGCCATATCACAGAGTGCAAGATTCAAACTATGACAACCACGTGGTGTATAAAACGCCTTGGGATTAATCTCAAGAAATCTATTATGTACTCCTTTATGCTTTCTCTTCATATTGGAGCCATTATCATAACCCTGCCCCGTACATCATCAATTTTCAGATCAAAAGCAACCAACACATCTTGAAGTTCACGTAACAGCCCTTCTCCAGATGTATATCAACTTCAAGAATGTTAAAATAAATTCTTCGACCTAAACTAAGTGTTAAAACATATACACACCGTATGATAACAGTCATTTGTTCATGATGACTAATATATGGAGTGCAGTCAAGAATGACAGAGAAGAACTTTGCAGTCTGAATTTTCTTGACAATCGTGCCTTTTATCTCATTGCCTAGCATAGCTATTCACTCATTCTGAATTTTTTGCTAAGATAATGAGCTTGAGATTCACATTCTTTGAATCTTCTAAGAAGTTCTATCATCACAGGATCGAAATCTGAAATCATCTCTATAAAGCTTAAGAAATTTCCACAACCTTCTTCTCCAATCTTCTCATTGCTTCCTCGGAACTCTAAATTCTGTTTAGCGAGAGTTTTAACCACATAAATTATCCTAAGCAACACCTGCTTCCAATGGATCTTCTCTTTATTGGTTTCATCTTGAGCATATTTGTCAGCAGTCTGATTCTTTTGTAGCCTGAGATCTAGCTCTATCCATTGCTTCATACACAAAATGTGTTCACTGCCAGTTTCATGTTCCTTAAGCCATTTCAAAACATTTCTCCAATCACTGAACCATGTAGATTTCAATTGACTATTCTCACTCTCATTAAAAAATCTGCAACAGAAACAGAAGATCTTGTTTAATCTCTTCGAGTAAACTAGCCAACGCCGATCTTGTTTTTCTTCATCACTCATCTGTCTTGTATAATACAAATGTGAGAAATATCTCTTAAAACCATCCTTGGGAAATTTATTATTAGCTGGAAGTATTTTTGTCAGACCTTGTACAACCATAAAATCTCTCCATTCGTTCCACCCCTTTTTAATAATTTCCAATTTGCAGGATCGTACATATCTATAAATACACAAGGCTCTTCCAGAATATCACTCTTCTCATGTTGATGATCATCATCTTTTACATGCTCATCTTCCTTATTCACTGCATTCACATTCTCTAGCTTAAGACTCGGTTCTTCTCTGTGATGCTCACTGTCACTAATATTCTCATCTACTTCATCTTCTTTAAAAGTAGCATGTTGTTCATCATTATTCTCTACAGAGCTATCAAGAGTTCCAGATTTTTGGAAGTACCTGAATATTGAATTTTTCAGATATTTTGATTCTTCTTCCTTTTTTTTCTTCTTTTTTCTGTTCTCGTATCCACAGGGCTGATGTCTTTTGCTCGATGACATCTTTCTACAACACAAAAAGTAAGATTTTATAAGTATTCACAATTTTGAAAAAAATTTATTTAGCGAATGAAAGAGAAGAAAAACAAGCAGAACAATTTTACCTTAATTGTCAATAATTAATTGCCTTGTTGGAGAAACCTTGAAAAGTTTTATGCAGCAGCGGCTTAGAAAGAAAAAGAACAATATGGTATAGTTTTGTTTTTACCCTAATTCTTTAATGATAATAATTTTTTATATTTTTTATTTAGTAATTTTAAAATTGATGCCCTAAATTTTTTAACAAAATATGATGCCCTACACCAATGTTTCCTAAAACATAAAGCAGGCACGACTCTGTCTCCGTACTACGCTACAAATATTTTTTTGATATGATAAATTTGTTTTTTATAATATAAATGAGTATTATATTTATTTTTGTTTATCTTAAATTTTGTATTTTTATATTTTTAATCTAAATAAACATTAGATATCTTTAGTTTTTATTTATTAAAAATTCTAATTTATTATCAAGTTTGTCCCATTAACTAATTAAATACTGTATTAGCGATATAAACAAAAATAATATCTTCTAAAATTTTACTAAAATTTATCATCAAAGTTTGTTAAAATTTAACATTAATTGAATACACATGCACATATCTCTGCAAGTCTTTTAAACTTCAATTAAATTTTATAGAAAATTATTAGTATTTACTTTATCAAACTTTTTTTCTCACTTTGATCTAACACTTTTTCAAATTCATATATGCTAATATCTTTCCATGATCATATAACTAATAGCATACAATAAAATAATTTCAAATCTATATCTCCAATCCGCGTTATGCTACAGAAATTTTGTTTTTGTTTTTTTTTGTTCAACTTAGCTTATGCCATGTTTTGATATAATAATGTATAGTTACATTTGTAAGATATATAATTTTAATCTTAAAAACTAATATGAACATTTAAATTTTATAAGTCATTTCTTCTAATGATATATATTGGAATTTTCTCTCGACTTAGTTTTTTGACAAAACATTTAAGGATTTTTCTTCACACCAAATCCAAAAAAAATCAAAACCAGATCACGATCGAGTTTGTTCATCATTTGCATTCCTGTATTGAAGTATCCTATTTTCTTATTTTATATTTTTCTCTACATTTCTTCTCTTCTCTCCTCTTCTCTTGTTCTTTCTGAATATATATAGGAAACTACTTCTCCATTTTTCAATTTTTCTTTAAATAGGGATCAATGATTCTATTTTTTCTGTATTTCTTCTATTTAAAAAAGGAAAACAAAAGAAATAAAGTTACGAAAAAACAAAAAAATATAAAGTAATATGTATAAAATTGAATATCTTTAATATTATTAAAATTTGGAACCTTTAACATCTTTGAATCAACATAGGTCAGCATTTCATATATAACATGATTAAAAATAAAATAATATGTATAACGCAGCATGACCAATAATGTGATTTACTTTAATGGTGGTTTAAAATACTACAAGCTCAAAAGAAGGAAAAATTGTAATTGATGAACGCACAAAGCCATCAAGTAAGATATAAATGTTTAGAGGGATTTTGTAGCCGTTGTAACTATCAGTGATTTGTTTTCCACCAGTACATATTACATATGTTTTCAATGCATTTTGAAATATATAATTTTGAATTTGGCAACTATGAAAATAAATAAATATTATTTTAATTAATCTATATATTATTTGGCTTATAAATGTTAAATATTACTTATGTTTTTTTATAATTTCTCATATTAAAATTTTATTAAATTATTTATTTTATATTATTTTGTTTTTTTCTTCTTAATTACTCCTCTTTTTCTTCAAATATATTGTTCTTTACTCTTTTTCAACCCACTCTTTTGTTATGTATACAAGTTTATTTCTAACCAGCTGTATATTACGATTCATGTACTCTTTCCGATCTTTCAACTTTAGCCAATACCATAATTTTATTTTAATAGCTATTTTAACAGAAACACGAAAAAGAGACTTTGCCTTTAACACTAATATTCTCAATTTAAACAAAGAAAAATTAAGTAACAAAGCTAAGCTCCATACTATCAGCAACAATTGAACAATACAGAGTTTAGAAGATCATTGGCAGTTATGCTTGAAAATTTGGATTGCATAAATAAATTCATACTTTGGAAAATGAATAAAAGATAGCTGCATCTTAGACATTTTCTTCTTAATTACAGTTTATTTCCAAAATACAACTACCATCATAATTCAAATAGCTTTATTCACAAGAAACCCTATATTTAGGAAAATAAGTTGAGTGATTTTCAAAACAGACCGATACATATTATATAATTTACTAAACCGTAGTGTCAAAAATTTATTAGAATTCATTTTTTTTGTTGTTGAATTGTGTATCTAATCAAAATAAGTGTAGTTATAAGGATTCATATTTTCTTTTTAAATTAATTAATTTGAAATTTTAACCAATCAATAAAGAAATTTATTTCTTTAACATAAACATAGATTAAGTAATTAAAAATAAACATTCTTGATTAAAGTATATCAAATTGGTTTTAAAAAGAAAATAACTATTATTGAATGATAATGCCTTTCAATACTTTTCTCCTCGTAAAACTAGATCCAACGTATGTGTTGTATTCATCCATATTTTCGTCCCCTTTCATGTAGAACTGAGTTTATTCATGCACATAATGAAAGTCACTAAATTGATGTGGATTCTCCTTATTTGTTGTTGTGTAGCCATGTAAACAACGATCCTCTCACAATAGGCGAAGAACATAAATGAGGGTGTTGTCAAATTCTCTTTGACCTTGTATACGAACTGGAGATTTGAAGAGAACTAAAAAAGTATAACATCGATCCACTTCAGATCCTAAACTCAATTCTCCAGAATAGTTCATATAAGTAATTTTACCTCAATTTCGCTACAAGAGGAAAAGAAAATTTATATCTCTTCACCTTTAAACTCTACTTTGCAGAGATATATGACTATTTGTACAAATGAAATACGATGAAAATCAATCAACTTAACTCAACAAAAATAATTAATTATTGGGAAGCAATCAAGTCACAATCGTGGCAATAGCAACATAAAACTCCAACTCCGACAATCGGGTTAATCAAAAGGGAATATATGAATACAAATAACCAAATCAAAGTTGGTTCCAAAAGTCATCTAGGAGATTGAGGTTTTGGCAGATGTCCGGGAGGAGAAGTAGAGCTGCGAAAGTGGAGACGAAGCAGCAGATGAATTGAAACCATGAGAGATGGAAAGCTCTCATGTGATGCTTAAACGGTGAATAGTTAGAAATTTATTGATTTGTTTTCAGTATCCACCGGAAGTATGAATCTCTGAGTTGTGATGGTCCAAACAGAAAAAAATGTAGATTTTTTTGGGTTTTTAAAAGATGTAGATTTTTTTAGGATTTTGATGGGTTTGGCAAAAAAAAAATAACAAATATTAGTAGATTAATTTTTAATATGATGTATATTATTTTTTTATTTTGATTGATATTTTATTTTGATTAGGTGTCAACTTTTGAAGAAGTGAAAAAACTGATGTTCATCTTTTAGAAAAACACAAGGGTTATTAGTGTGTTGATAAAAAATTACTCATAGCACAAATCAACCAAAAGTATTAACTTCTCGATATTTTTTCATACCAAAGATAAAAATCAAACAAAAGTAATAATTGAACTTTTCACTCTTTGGTTTCTATGTTGTCTATTAGTCTATTTTCCATTGTTTTCTAACGTATAAAAGTCATAAAAAAAATTAATCTCAAGTACTCATACGACTAAATTTTTATTTTCTGCTTGCATTCATCTTCATTCATTATTTATTAGGGTTTTGCAAATATAACCCACAAATTGTAGTCTTTAAGTGATGCAAAAAATGCAGACAAACGGTGAAATCCTTCTTCCAATTGATTTTTAAGTGAAAATTTTAGAAAATATTATGATTTATAACAACAAACATAACTGATTTACTAAATTCGACCTTAAACTTGCCAAGGGAAATATATCGGTTATATCTTTGCTTCAGACGATAAGATTGACCCTCATCAGCTAAGTTTCATGAACGTAGGGAAAAGGCTTCCAAACTTGAGAAACATACAACTTCGAATGTATTAAAGATGATTGAAGAAAGTTATGACGAAGCAATGTTTCTATTTTCAGTTTTAGAGTTAAACAGTAAATTCTTTTGAAATATTGAAAAAACAAAAATTTAACAGATATACTCCCTTTATTTCATATTATGGGTAAAAACACAAGGATAAAAAAAATAACTTTTGTTTAAAAAAATATCAATTAACAAATAAACTAAATATAATTTAATCAATCATAAAATAAATTGTATAGTATTATTGGCTACACAATATCTAATAAAATTAAAAGTGAAAACAACTTACAATTTGAACAAAACTATACTCCTAAAACAACTTAAATTATGAAATAGAGGAAGTATTAATTATGTAATTTTTTTTCCAACTATTTATTATGTAGTTTGGTTTAGAAGATATATTGGTTAATGATCCGTTTTTCTTCCTTTTTAGTGATCCTTTTTTACTTTCTTCACTCTTTCTACACAAAAATTTACAAGATATATATTGATCATGATGAAGATGAAAGCTTCTCATTTGGCTCTGTACTAATAACGCATGAAACTTACGTCCTATTCAAACAAATAAACAATTCTCATAGCACAAATCAAACAAAAGTGTTGACTTATCATTAAATCCAAAAAAAAAAAATCAATCATTATAATGCCCATGTATTTAACTATACGAATAAAATCCTTATTATATTAGTGTAAATTAATCACACTAAATATACATTCTAACAACCATATTATTGCATATGGTCAGTCAATAATTAGTGTTTCAATTGCACAAGAAACCGCTGTCAAAAGAGAAAGAAAAAAAACACCAAATTGCATAAGAAACCGATTAAATTCATGACCACGCCTGGACACTATCTTGCATGTGTCATTAGAAACGACCAAACAGAGTTTATAAGGTAAAACCAGTAACTATCTAAAAAGAAAAGAACTATTGAATTTTGTCCCTCATATCTCAAAATTCAGATTTCTTGAGATTATAATTCTATTTTTTTTTTATTACAGGTTGAGTAAAACCAGATATTGAAATTTGATTCTAATTGACATCTTACTACTTATGCTAAATAACATTAATTAAGTAGTTATCTCATTAAATTAAACTATCGAAAACATAACATACCACTTTCTGCAGTTATAGATTTTTTTTTTCTTAAAAAATAATTACAGAAATTTTGATAAATTAAAACTAGAATTGACAGTGAATGAATTGTTACAAATTACTTATATGATCTCTTCCAATTTTCGATATAAAACATATTTTACTTAAATTTCTCTAGATATTAAGGTCTCATGGCTTGTTAACCCCTAATAATTATAATATTCTCTCCTTTCTAGATAATGATTTTTCTTTAACCATTAATTTCATTATGATCATTAATTTTGAGTTGAGTAGGCCGAACAATGAAAATGTATGGATAAGATATCGATACTATGTTAGAATATCAAAAATGGATATTGAAAAACTTTCTAAATTAATCTTCAGGCAAACAAATTACATAGTTATATAGCTCAACAAATGTATATATCTTCCTAAACTGATACAAACAAGATGTCAAGATCAAATTACATTTATTATAAATACGATATTCCATTAGTAACCACACGCTTTAGATGATAGTATATTAATTCGTTGCACTTATTTATATACTATAATTTGTATTGGTAATCTTTCTCTTTCGCCATTTTTAATTGATATTTACATACACGATATTCCATTAGTATTTTTTTATTTTTTTACTTAACAAACAATTATCATCACATAACACACACCCATTTGTCCTAACAAAAAACCTCTTACAGAACAAGTCTCTGTCTTTTGCAAAAAAAATTGTTTGAAATGGAACAGAGCAAAAGAACAGAACATGTTCTGTTATTACAGAGCTTGAAAAGATCGATCGTCTCTTTTGTTTGTTGTATTCCCATGTCTCTTCTTGGTCTTCTTCTCATGCTTCTCTTAATCTACAACAGCTTCTCTGTCTTCTCTCTTCATCTTGATTCAATCCCACCAATGAAATCCACTATATCACTTGATCATCACCAGATTTTTCATCCATCATCATCATCATCACCATCATCATCAAAAGCAACAACAACAGCAACATCATCCTCTGAGTCAGATTCATCATTGTTGCTTGTGGTAAAAGAAACCTCTTTAGGTTTCGTACAGAAGCAGAACGTTTCGTCCACGGGGACAGAGAGAAAGACAAGGAGTTTAAAGAGAAGAATAGAGTCAACATCAGCAACAAAACAGCGGCCACAAGGCAAATCAAGACAGAGATTCAAGACGAGGATCAAGTCTTTCTTGTCCAAATCCTCATGCGAGTCACTGTTCTTCATGACCTGGATCTCATCCATCGAATCTTTCGGTGATAGAGAACGATTCACCATAGAGAGTCTCTTCAAATCTCACCCAAATAGCTGTTTAGTCTTGGTCTCAAACTCATTTGACTGTGACAGAGGAACACTAATCTTGAAACCCTTTACAGATAAAGGGCTTAAAGTGCTTCCAATCAAACCCGATTACGCTTACATCTTCAAAGACACATCCGCAGAGAAATGGTTTGAGAGATTGAAGAAAGGAATGTTCAGTCCAGGAGCGATTCCATTAGAGCAAAACCTCTCCAACCTTCTAAGACTAGTCTTGCTCTACAAATACGGCGGAACCTACTTAGACACAGACGTCATAATCCTAAAATCTCTCACCAATCTCCACAACGTGATCGGAGCTCAAACAGTTGATCCGGTTACAAGAAAATGGAGCAGGCTCAACAACGCGGTGCTCATCTTTGACAAGAACCATCCTTTGCTCAAAAGATTCATCGACGAGTTCTCAAGAACCTTCAACGGTAACAAATGGGGTCATAACGGTCCTTACTTAGTGTCGAGAGTCATTGCAAGAATCAACGTTTCTTCATCTTCCTCCTCGGATTTGGGATTCTCTGTTCTTCCGCCGTCTGCGTTCTATCCTGTGGATTGGACTCGAATCAAAGGATTTTACAGAGCGTCGGCGAACGAGAGCGAGGCGAGTTGGTCGAGGAAGAGGCTTACGCATTTACGTAAGAATAGCTTTGCTGTTCATCTTTGGAACAGAGAGAGTAAGAAGCTTAGGATTGAAGAAGGAAGCATCATTCATCAACTCATGTCTGATTCTTGCATCTTCTGTAACTCTTCTTCTTTACATTTTTAGTTATAACAAAAGAGAGAGAGAGAGAGCTTCTTCTTTACATTTTTAGTTATAACAAAAGAGAGAGAGAGAGAGACAAGAGACAAATCTGTCTGTGTGTTGTGAACATACAGATTTGCTGATCTATCTGCCATTTTGAGGCACTGTCTAGTTTGTGTATATCAAAAAGTCTGATTTTTTTTTGAGTAATTTGTTGCAAAGATCAGGGGTAAATCCGTCTTTTACGTTTTACTAACCGCAAACGCAGAAAGCAAAGGTTTGATTTCCTAATGCAACCGCATTGCTCAGCGATTCAAGTGGCGTTTGAGGCTGCCTGTGCACAAACGTGCAAGAAAAAGAAGTACACGAGACATCATGATCACATGAACCCACAAGAAAGTACTTTAATCTTTTTCTCATATACAAACAAGTACACATTAAGTCATACAATATGATCACAGCAACAATGGCTTAAAAAGGTTTCTTCTAATTCTAAATAAACTCTGAGTATGTGTGTAAGTTCTACAAGCTACTCATTCTAATACCCGGATCTCGTGGAGCCTGAAAGTCTTTGGCCCTTGTGAGGCTCACGTAGTAAAGCTCGGAGACAATCCCTGTGAGCACTATGAACGCAGCTCCAGCACCAAACACGCCTTTCCTTAATGATCGACAAGAAGGAGCTGTGTTCCCAAAGTAGACACGGTACTTTGTGTGGTAAGCGTTTCGCACAGATCCCGCAAGTAAACACACTTCTGCTATGAAAAAGAAGACCCTGCAAATGACATTTATAGCAGCAAATGTCACAACAAGATATCGTTTGAGGTTGACCAACAATCTCTGTGATTAGACCAGATAAAAAGTGATGTTTCGCCATTGTAAGCCACATGAACAATCAACCATAGATACAGAACATATGGAAAAAGTTTAGTTCTTTGATGTTGAAGTTGAATGTGTAGTTTTGACACTTTAGGAAAGTAAAGTCTAAATCAGTAAATCTCCATTGAATCAAAGCATATGCACGATATTTGTTTATCTTTATTCTGAATTGCAAACATCTATGACTAGTTGAAGCTTAGAGCATTTTATAAGAGTACTGAGATAAACGGAGCAATCCAAGATTGTAATACATTTGATTATGCAAGAAGAGAAGAGCATTGTACCAGGTGGTGATGAAGAGAAGAATAGCCCAGGATCTAGAGCCACTTGGTGTCAGTGCCCTTCCACAGCATAAACATCGACTCGCCACCATAATGAAGAGCTGACTCGCTAAAAAGATCAAGAAAGAACCTATTCCGAGACCCGTTGCGATATCCTTCTCATACACACAGTAGCTTGAATCTCTTGATTCATGAACAACTTGCCACTGTCAACAAAAGCAACACCAGACACAAAATCAGGAAGAACACAAAACAGGACAAATCTCAACTCTTTTACAAATGTCCACAGTTAATGGGTTTTCAAAGGACTTTTTCTCTGATTACAGTATTAAAAGAAGAAGCTTGAGCATGTATGCCTCTAATCTTCGAAATTTCTCCCCCAAAGTTTTCAGCTTTCTATGAAGCTTAAGACGAAACTAAATGAATTTCACAAAACCCAAAAATTTTGGAAGAACCCAACTTAAACAATCCTAAGAAGAGATAGCAATAATCAAATCAAGTTTACGAGACATGTTGGAATTGGAGCAATCACAGTCTGTGATTCACAGATATTGACTGAACCAGAGAAGAACTACTATAGAGAGTGAGTGTGTGAGAGAGGGAGAGAAACTGACGGTGGTTCTTCGCTGCTCTGCAGCAACAGCGAGACCAAAAGCTATGAGATCAAACACGAACACCAGAAACAGTAGCAACACGGAAGCCATATCAGGAGGAGTAGAAGAAACACAAAACAAAACCCTAAATCCAGAATGGCTCTTCTTCTTCTACTTCTACTTTCACTAGCTCGTTTCTTCTTCTTCTTCGTCAACACTGTTTCTGGATAATAACGCCCAAGGCGAAGAGTTGAAAAAACAGTCTGTGTCCATGTGATAAAGGAGGAAACTTGTAAAGGGACCAAGGAACACGCGTTGTAAAATAAACCATTTGTTTTCTTTCATAACTTGGGTTGGATACAATTTCCAAACCGAACCGTCTCGAACCAAACCAAAATTCTTAAACTTGAAATAATCTTATTACTAGCTGTGGGGTTCATTAAAACTTTTTAAAATACAATATTAGTTTATTTATAAATAAAAAAATCAAATTTTATAATAATTTGAAACTAAACTTAATATATTTAAAAAATACAAGTATATTGTTTTTTGTAACAAAACAAAATATATTATTTATATATTATTTTTAATATCTTTTATATTATCTGATAAAACTTATATGTATGCTTTGCTGTTTTGTTGCATTTATCAAACATGATAAATAATTCTCTTCTTTTGATGTAAATTGGTAGATTAAAATTAATAAAATTTAAAATTTGCATAAAAAACATAGCAACCAAAAATGACCAAAACCAAAGAATCCTTGTTTCATATCAACTTAATATTAATTAATATATGTATATATATAGAGTTTTAAAAGGTTTAAATGATTTAGGTTTTTACTTGTGATCGTATAAAACAATTAGATTAGTCAAAATACTAGTAGGTTAAACAATCAAATTAAAATTAGTTTAATAAAATAATTATAATTTTTTTATTTACTTATGCTAGTTAGCTCTTTTTAGTAAACCGAATATTTTTATGATATAAACTCGAATCAATTAAAAATTAGATTATATTAATTTGTTAATTTTATTAAGAGTAATTAAAGGTAAATTCACATAATATACAAAAGGTAATGAACCATCATAATTCTCAACCACAGCCCAACTTGCTTCTTAATATATAAAATGATTCATTTTAAAGAGAATAAAAGAAAACCAAAATTCTTAAACTTGAAAGAATCTTATTGTATTCATTTTGAAGAGATTAAGAGAATAGAAGAAACTATAAGTATAACTAATTAACCGAACCGAATTCGAACCTAATCCAAGTTTTATCCAATATATAATTAGTCCATCTAACCGAATTCGAACCAAACCCAAGTTTTATTCTTTTTTTTTTTAAAATACAGCTTAAATATTGGTGTATTTGTTGTGTCCCCACTACAATTTGGCTGGTTGATTTTTAAGTTGAGACTTGAGATATAGGCATACACATACTGTATAGAAAACATACAAACTTTGAAGATTTAGATACCGTATTGTGTTATTTATTTCAAAGACAAACGATAAGAAATTACAAGGAAACAACAGAAAATGATCGAAGAGACAGAGAAGATATATATAATCAAGTTTTTCTTTTTCAGAGCGTATTCATTGTATATATATATATATATAATATATATATAGATCATCGATCAACATGGTCTGTTGCAGATGCAGCGACGTCGGAATCCTTGGCAGTCACCATCCGTAAAACCTTCACTGTGGCAAATACTGGCGCAATTGGTTGTGCTCAGACACGGTCCATTGAACAATTGGCTACTCGATTCACACACACGTGCCTCCACCGTGACCGGACCCATCATCCCTAGAGTCACAAGATAACCCATCCATAAGTCACCATAACTACAAGAGAATGTATAAACTATAACCAAAAGAAATGGCGAATAACAAGATATGAGTCACAGATCACTCAGCAAATTGATATGACAGATGATTACGCGTATTGACATCAGTTTATGTACATTTAGAAGTATCATGAACCTGTGGCAATGAGGAGCATGAACAATAGGGGAACAGCTGAGATCAAACGAGTAGAGAGCTTCATTTTTTTTTAAGAGAGAGATGGGCACAAGTGTTTTGCAGAGCTAATAAGGAAGAAGATGATACTTATATAAAGGGACTAAAGATGTTTGTGATTATTGTTTATTTTAAATACATTTGCATTGAACTTTTTCTTTTGTTTTTAAGAGTGGTTTGACCACACGATTGTCGTTTCTTTGGATTCACGTTTCTTTTGTTGTAGGAAAAATAAAATTTGGTAATAATAAGCTGCAAATGAAGTTCAGATTAGTTAAAATGTGAAGTTCAAATAAAATTTGTGAAATAGCTAGACAGTGTAGCATTATATTTAAATGTATATATATTTCCAGTTTCATCAAGAAAAATTCAGATAGTTAACAAAACATAATTCTTTCATATGAAAAGAGAACCCAACTTTTTGTGTTTTATTTTTAAAAATTACTCAAATTGCATGCAAGAAAATGCAATGCCACGTACAAGGGTTTCATCAATTAAAAAGTTAAAAAAAAAGATGGTTTCATCACAACCAAACAACTGCATGCATGCGCGAAAGAATGCTTTTTATAAGAGCAAGAGAAGACAACACAAATTAAAGCATACATGCAAACCATACGAGAGATCATTCAATTTGCTAGTAATATACATATGCATTCGAGAATAGTGTATTGTAAAAATAATAAGAAATTTTGTAAGTTATTTTTCCCACCAGAAAATTTCATTATGTCAAGATTCTGGCAAAAATCATCATCAATTTTCAGCTAAATTTTGTTAATGTCATTTCTTTTGCCAGGTTTTTTCGTCACCAACTAATAAAAGCAAAGAAAGAAAGTTTATAACAACAAAACAATATTACATATTTCAGAAAAAAATATTACATATTGTGGCAACACAAAGGTCTTGCTTGACTCAAAAGGTTTTTAAAGCCTTTCCACCCAAAAAAGACTCTGTATCTCGGAGCTCCCATGAAACCTCTAAATCCTAATTTTTTTTGGGGACCCTTCAAAATTACAAACTCAAAAGTCAAAACAACAGGTTAAATCTTATACATATACATATACTCTTTTGTTGTTCTATATAGAACATTTTGAGATGTTGAAAAAGGCAAAAAAAGGAGTAGTAGTAGTTTGTGATGATCTTGAATGATGGACTCATCATGGGTTCTGAGTATCAGTTTGGATCTCATGAGCCAGCTCTTTGGTTAAAGAATCAGCTCGATCGTCGTGTCCTCCAGCAAATGTGTAGACTTTAAATGCAAACTGAAATGCCCTCCAAAGAATTTTAGCACATCCTACTGTCTTCTTCAGGCTCGGCTTCGCATCAGGTGACACAAGCTTCTCATCTCTCTTTTCCTGTGAGTTTGATTTTGATCCAATCACGGTTAAGAAAAGAAATTTTTTTTAAAAAAGGGTTATAATATTTCTTGCTGTTAGTTACCTTCAATGCGAGTTCCATGCAGCTTGATGAGATATCAACCATTGTCTCCTTGATCTGAAGAAGTATATTGAAGTCAAAGTGGATGTTGTGGCTCTGGAACTTCTTAGCTTCTTCATCTTTGGTTCGATCCAGCGTGTCAATGTCTCCTTTGATCTGTTTTAATTAACCAATTTATGATTTTTATTATTGAAATAATTTGGAATTAGGATCTCTAAGGTAAAGAAGATTATTGAAGAAGTTACCTTTGTGAAGTAACGTTCTACTTTATCAAGAAGCTGATTCAAAGGAGGTTCTATCTTCCAGTTCTGCAGCTCAGTGATCATACCGTGCAGCTTCGAGTACAATGCAGCCGCCATTCTTATTGCTTCGAGTTTCTTCTGTGGAAACCCTTCGCATCGCGCAAGAACCTGAAATTTTTTAAAGCATTCTCGCAATCAAGAACCACAAAAACAGAGGATATCGAAGTATACATGATAATAAGATGTTCTCAAAATGTTGCTTACCTGTGTCTCATCTGTTAGCTTTTCAAGAACTGATTCGACACGGCCATGGAAGCTAAGAAGCTCAGCCATATCTTTAGTCTGGAACTTAGTGATCTCAATCTTCAGCTCATTGATTGATTTCATGTATTTTGCAACATCTTCTTGAATTTGCAGGAAATATGCAGACTTCTTTGTGATCTCAGCAAGAGCATCAGCCATTCCTTGCTTTCCACCGGCGGGAGCGCTTCCCACTCCTGCTTTTCTTCCGCCTCCGCCGCCGGTTCTCGCCTGTGGATCACGTCCTTCTACTTTTCCTTTAAGGATTCTGTAAAGGTTCCCTAGTTGGGTTGACCTTTTCAGTTTTGTAGCTGCTTTCTTGGGTCGCAAGCTTCTTGCTGCTCCTGGAGGTGGTGGTGGAGCAGCCGCTCCGTTTGCCATACCCATTCGAGGTGGTGGAGGTGGCGGTGCTGCTCCGTTTGCCATAGGGGGTGGTGGCGGAGGCGGTGCTGCTCCGTTTGCCATAGGGGGTGGTGGCGGAGGCGGTGCTGCTCCGTTTGCTAGTGGCATAGGAGGTGGTGGAGGCGGAGGTCCACCGCCTGCACCATTTCTCATAGGCATTGGCGGTGGTGGTGGGGCTCTGTTTTGCATGATAGGAGGAGGCGGTGGTGGCGCCGCCGTAGTCCTTGGAGGTGGAGGAGGCGGTGGTGGAGCCGCCGTAGTCCCTGGAAGTGGAGGAGGCGGTGGTGGCGCCACTGCATTTGTTGGAGGTGGAGGCGGTGGTGGTGGTGGCGCCACTGCATTTCTTGGAGGTGGAGGCGGTGGTGGTGGGGCTGCTGCAGTTCCTGGAGGTGGAGGAGGCGGTGGTGGTGTAACAGAGCCTTTTATAAACGGTGGTGGAGGTGGTGGTTGAGGAGGTGAAAGTGATGAAACGGCCACCACATCAGTCTTTGAAATCAGCGGTGGTGACGGAGGAGGAGGAGGTGGCGGCGGTTGAGAAGCTAGAGACGCAACTTTTGTTGTGGATAGAGGAGGAGGAGGAGGAGGTGGTGACAAAGATTCCGGCGCAATCTCTAGTTTCTCTGAAACATTGAGCTTGGATTCAGCATCTGAATCCAATGAAGAGATTTGCATGATAGTATCTTCTTGCTCATCAAGAACAACAGGTTCTTCTTCTGTCTCCATCTTCACATCAACGCTCTCTATTTCATTCTTCTCCTGCTTGATCTCTTCAACAGCATTGACCTCATCTTCTCCGTTGCTTTGGTTTGGTACTTCCTGAGCTTCTTTCTGTGACAATATGTGAATAGCGAGCCTCTTAACATCGATAGGACTAAGCTTCTCGAGAGCTTGAACTCTCATGTTCCACAGTAGAGATGATGCAGAGTTTGCAAAGTCTCCGGTTCTGCCCGGCGAACCCATCATAGGTTCTGGAAGAACTGATCTTGGCGTGCTCGGCGACCCGCAAAACGAGCTTCTGCTATCGGAGAATGATTCAGACGGAGATAAAACTCGACTGCTCGATGTTTTAGCCGTCCGTGGACTAACGACCTCTTTCTTCTCTTCTTCTTCGTCAATCTCCATCATATCAAACCTCTCTTTAGACATCTTGATCAGTCCATGTAATGCTGCTAATACCTTTTCCACTGCAAAAGAAAAATTTAAAACATTTTAAAAGAGTTCGAACTTCAAGACTGAGAGATAACTTTCTTGTGAAGGTAACAAGAAATATCACCTAGTCGATCAGATTGATTCTTCCCAACGCTGCTACTCCAGTACTTGGATTTAGCTATCCATTCAGGGTTATCGATCCATGAATCTCCAATGGATTTCAAAGCATTAAAGAAATGATCAAGAACCTATGGGGAAAAACATTTGATCAGATTCAAGAACTCAGAACAGAGGATTAGTCATATATTCAGATCATGTTTTGAGTACCTTATCCACATTTGCGCGTCTAATCTCCGAGATATGTGAGCTGTGGATGATCTCAGGACATAAATTCTTGAGATCTTTCATTGTATGCATCACCATCTACTCAACAAAACAAGTAAGGGAGAGTCAAAATAACATATTAAAGGATTGAGTTAAGAATGATAAACTTTGCGGTTTTACACACATCGGTTATGGAGGGAGAACCGTCGAGAGGAGGAAGATCAATGATGTCTCGAAAGGTAAAGATCTTCCTGCGAAGCTCGACCATAAGAATAAAGTTTCCTGTCCATTTAGGCGAGCTGCTCGTCTTGGGGCTCTTAGCTTCTTTGATAGAAGCATTCTTGACGATGTTTAAAGGCGATGAACTCGAAGAAACACGTCTTGATGATGCTAGGCTGCTCGAGGATAATATCGACTTAGATGATCTAATTAATATTGGTGAAGATGAAGGTTTAGGTGACGAAGAAGGTTTAACATCCTGTTTGCTAATCTTGCTAACTTTAGGCGATGATGATTGACCTTTTACTGGCTGAAAAATGTGATTATGAAAAATTTGTTAGCTCTTTCTTGATTCATCATCATAGAGTTTACTCATGTTTCTCAAAGACAATCATAACAAACAAGAAAACAGAGAAAGATGGTGAGCAAGAATGATCTAGCATGAACAAAATCATAATTCATATAATAATAAACTCAAGAGATGAGAAACTTATTAGATTATGTTTTATCTATGAATCATTTGAATGACTTCCTATAATCAAAATCAATCAAGAAATAAGAAAACTTTTACCTGTAACTTGCTCGATGATTTACGACCGAACAACATTGTTGGAATATCCAAACAGCCTCCGGCTGTCATCACTTGCCGGCGACTCCAACTTTATAATGTCTTGTTTCAAACAAAAAAAATACTATTTTTTTTTTTGGGTTTCTGCTGAAAAAATCAAAATAAAGTATGAATATTTACAGACTTATTCAAAGCCTTGCAGGTTGAAGATATTAATAAAGAACAACATCACAATCACAATCAGAATCGTGCAGAGCAAATCTAATTAGGGTTTGAGATTCAATTCAAGAGAGGCCATTTTTTGCTGTAGGACTTATGGAACTTTCTCATGAAAGAGAGAGCCAAAGGATAACAAATGTTGAATCTGTCATTTTTAAGGGCAAAAGTTCTCTAACCCCTTTCTAAACCTAAGTCCTTTTTTTAGTTTTCTGTTTTATTTCTTATCTGTGTGATTTACTAATTATATAAAAATTTTGGAAAGCAGTTTAAAACGATAGAATGCTACTTATGTATTTTCTTGTTACACCCATTCTGTTTTACTCGAAGGATGAAAACCTTTTTCTATTCTGATTAAATTGAAACAGAATACAAAAACTATCATTTTCAGTAACACAGAAAATAAACAAAAGCTTAACACAATCAGAATTTTGTTCTTGACAGATATATTATTTGCGTACATGTAAGACATTAAATAATATTACATACCTCTCCACACGATTTGTTGCTATAGGGACGGTGAGATTCTTGTTTACAAGCCAAAACCAGTACCCCTAAGAAAATATAAATTTGTTTAAAATTTACGAAAGATGTGTGTATATATATATATCCATCAAATATCAAACTCCTTTCTCTCACAGAACATTATATTAGGAATGTATATTATAGAGGTAAAAAATCTAAAAATATATCAAATACATCATCATACATCGTACATACAGTTGTATATAACCGTTATATGTGGAATTGTCCATTTTTCTGATTTAAATGTTATAAAAATATAACTACTATAAAAGTCGTCAAAGTTGGTTACATACATTTAACGATTACCTCTAACAATTCCATGATATATATTTGGGCATAAAAAGTATATATTTTCGACCTCATGATATATGACTTGTTTTGCAAAATGTTCTAAGAGTCTTAGACATAGCCTATGTTATTTATGTTGGTTACATCTCCATAACATATGTTATGTGTAACTACAAATCTCGACACTATATATACTAGTTGCAAAAAAGCATAATATTAGTCAAGTTGTAAGTTGTAATATTACCATCTTTTTTTATTTTGAGTTCATATGGAAAGAAATCATAAGCGTTTATGCTTAGTTCTAGTCAAAGTTAACTATTCATGCATATCCATTTTTTATTGATAAGAAAAGTATTTATATTTCTTTAGTTGGACCATTCAAATAGCTAACCGCGTTGTGGTTTATAGTCCTTAAAACATGATGAATAATGAAATAATACAAAGTTGTGAACTTGCGAATTTAAAACTTTAATAAAGATGAAGAGGTTGAGTATAATTTTAAGTTTTAACTTTTGAGTCTGTAATCCAAATTACAAATATATATATATATCTCTCATAATTAACTCAAATTAAATTACAAATCAATTCTCGTAGAAAAAATAAAATAAATAAATAATTGTGACACAAGCAAAATCAAGGAGTATTCACCAGACTTATTTATGAATGTATCAACAAAAAAATTTGAAGTGTGACCAAACAAATCTCATTTGACGCATCAAAACGTCGCGTTTTGTGCTTTCAACGGTTTTAACTGAATCCTTCACCTTCTTACGTTGCCCTTGAAGGTGCTCGGTTCGAAGCTTTTCGAGATGCAGTCGCGGCTGATCTCTCAGCGATTCTTCTCTGCCTTTCCTGAACAAGATTCTCTATTCTCTTCCTCATCTCTTCTTCCTATAATCCAATATAGACTCGGTAAGAAACTAATCTAATAAACCGCTGAAGATAATGCAACAGTAAAGATCTTTCTTACCTTTTCAAACTTGTTCTTCTGTGCCATTGTTCTGCTAGCTACTGTCGGTTTCTTCACGGTCTTGGACATGGCTTCAGCTCTGGTTCTACTTGGAGTTCTAGACTTTCGAGTTTCAGGGTTCTTCGCATTGCTTTTCTTCTCGCCGTTTGAGACTATGGTCTTGTCTTCTTTCTCCTGAGCTGTTCCGTTACTCGAGAGCCTCGCGTTCGCTTCAACAGAGAAGTCGATGGAGTGATCATTAGCCAACGAGTCTCCTGAGTTGCGTTCAAGAATCATGCAGAGATCATTTGGTTCCCATGAGCCAGACATTTCACGCTTTTCTTCCATGTCAGAGGAGGCCAAAGCAATATCTGCAGACATGTCTGGTCTCCACCGAGAGTCATAAAGATCATCAGTAGTGAGTGATGATGAATGGACCATGAACGAGTCATCAACAAACTCTTGTTTCTTGCTCTGATCAGAACCTCCAGATGTCAAAACGCAACTTTCATCAAACGACATTCTCCCGAAGTTGCTTTCCGGTTTCCCTGCACGATGATGATCGGAAGTAAACCAATCCTCTCCACTCCCTGACTTCTTCACCAGTGAGTCACCACCTCTTGTAGCATTATACAAGTCTTTGCTTTCATCCCCTAACATATCTGATCTTTTGAGCAGTAACATACATTCTTCCGTTGAGTCCCTCGTTCTTGGAACCCTACGAGCAGTATCCTCGCTTTCAAAATGATCAAAGCTCGCTCCTCCTCCGTTTTCTATGTGTTTATGAGTTACGATGATGGATTCATCTGAGGCATTGTTATTCGCTTGCAAACCATTAGAATTCGCACCAAGACTAGATCCTCTGTGGGTGAAATGCTCTTCACCGACGACATCCATTGAATGCATATCAGAGCCATCATCATGCCTCATCAAAATATTCTGAAACGAATCCCAAGTCTCATTGCCTCGTTTTTCTTCAGCCGAGCTTTTCAGAATCTCATCACCAGAACCTTCTCCCTCATGGCCTCTTTTCTCCTTGAGAAATCCAACCGCAGCATCTACAGTCTCTTTGATGGAACCGTTTTCAGTAAACTCATTTCCCTCCATGTCTGCGTTTCTTCCCTCGGGTGTTATGTAGTTGATATTACGGATGATAACAGTTTTAGACGATTTCTTCTTCCGGTTTTTCTTTGACCGACGAGAGCTTTTACCGTTATGAGAGTGTCTCTTAACTTGATCTTCCAAAGACGAAGCAGAATCATCGCTGGCCGAGTCAGATTCGCTAGATTCACTTGATCCACTAGACTCGTCTTCATCAGAATCCGCTTTCCCTTTTTTCTTGGAAGCTTTGCCCTTTGAAGGCCATGGCATGTTTCCTTGGTTTTGGTTTGGCATAGGTTGCATTAGAGGGTACGGATAGCCTTGGTACGGAGGCGGGTAGTAGTACTGAGGCATATGGTTCGGCCATCCCATTGGTGGTTGAAAATTTGGAACACCAGGCGCGTGTTGGTCCAAATTAACCGACTTGTCATCTACAAAATCAAAACTCTCTTCACATCAGAAACGGACATTTTAGCTATCCATCAGTAAGAGAACTAGCATGTCTGAAGTCAAGTAGTACCTTTATTTTCAGAACTTGCATTAGATGAGTCTGTTCCGTTTAGTGATAGAGCAGCACCTTCATTGGTGAGGATGATCCCTGAAGAACCCAGTAATGACATGTCTGATGGAGCAATCGCCTTCACGGCTGCTAACTCCGCCATCCAAAGCCCGTCTCCGTGCTTCTTCTTCCATAGTTCTTTATACTTTACGCATGCTTCCCTGTCGTAACGATGAGAAAAAGGGTGACTAAAACTTGCAAAATGATCTTTATAGCAGAAGAAAAATGGTTAAGCACTATTTTACTTACCTTAACCTTGACGCCCCAAAAGCATCAGCAAATAGAATGAGATCATCAATGCTATCGATTTCATAACCCGCAACAACACCTCGTGCATAGGCCATTGCTTGCTCTCTCCGAAGCAATGTTCTTCGAGTTTCAAGAAGACGTTGAAGCTGAATCCTGTTAAATAAACCGAACAAAAAAAAACACAATTGGTCAATAAGATGCATGTTGCGCCAAAAGAAATGTATATAGTTCCATAGGTACGAGACTTACTTCGATGTTTCCTCTCCTGCAGCTTCATTGCCATTCTCAGAATCTTTCTGTGTAATACATTGATGAAGAGGAAAAGACTCAATTGACAGAAAAACCAGTTACAGAATAAACACAGTACCACTTGAGAAAGCACAAGTTACCTTGGAGGACTCATTTGACTTCTTTACGTTACTGCTAGCTCCAGCATTACTCCCTGCAGATTATAAGCAACACAGTGTCAGGACTGTGTCAAGAACACTGTCAAAACCCGACATTTGCCATTAAAAGCTTTGGCCTTTAGTAAAGATAAGTCTTAAAGTACCGTCTTGTGATCTCTCAGCATCAGCAGCATTGGCGATTTCATTAGCTTGAATCGAATGCTCAATCTGCAAGATCTCTTTCTCCAGAGTCGCGAACCTCTCGATAATCGCAGGCGTGTTTACGAATCTCACAAACCTGCAAACGAAGAAGAAACGTGAATCAGTCACTGAGCAACATCCACATTGTTCAAGATCTCTCCACACACAGTGGTAGATCGAATCCTAAAAAAGAGATCATTGTTGCAACTGAGACACATTCTCTACTCGAACAGGCATAATTCTCCGAAATTGTTAACAAATTTTCAAAATCCGATTAAAAAATTCGCCAAAACTCAGAGCAAAAAAGTTGATAATTACCGATCGAAAGTGGATTTGGTGAACCAAGGAGAGTGAGAAGTAGGAGGATGAAGAGAAATGGAGTAACCGCCTTTAGAGATCTGATCTCTAGCGAATTTGAGATGAGAGATGAAGGGTTCGAAGATCCCAGAAGCCAATTTCTCCTTCTTACTCCCACAGAAAAGCACCAAATCGAATCTTCAAAATCCAACACACACACACAAACACAAACACTGTTCAAGATCAAAATCAATCGTCAAAGCAAAATCATAATCATAATCAGAAGTGGAGACGGACCTGGTGCGAGTAGGGGTGAGTTGAAACAAAGCGGAATCGAGCATAGCTCTGGAATCCATAGCTTCGGAGAAAGAAAAAAAAAAAAAAAAAGGAGAGAATCAGTGAGGTTTCTTCTTTTTCTTCTCCGTTGGAGAAGACAGAAGAAAGGTCGAAGGAAGAAGAAGAAGATAAAGGGGAAGACGTGAAGGAGACATATTGACTTTGGGTGTCGATTTGGATTCGAAGCTTACGGTGACAGCAAAGGATGAGTTAAGCTTGGCACATGGTTTGGGTAACATTAGTGACTGACCAATATTATTTGTGGTCCCTATCATCAATAATGTTTAAGTTTATGCTCTCCTCCTCGCCGTCTTCTTTAATTAATTTTATCTTTTCCCTAATTCATCTAATCTAGTCATTAAACAAAATCATCAAAAAGATAGTCAACATGATAAAAGCATTACGGAATCACGAGTACTTCTCGTTGAAAATTAGGAACTTTTCTGCTTTAACGATTTTTATTTGCTGCCGACAACACAAAACCAGACAAAGAAAGATTTTGTCAAGTATTAAAAATTTAGTCATTTTTTACTCGTTTAAAATATGAAATATGTTAATTATATACGATGTTAAATATGATTACTACGGTCTGTAATGTTCAAAAAATTAAAGACAGTATTATGAACCAGTTCTGTCTGAAAAAGCAATTATATCATTAAGAAATCAACACAAAAATACATCAGTTTTTTTAAGCTTTATAAACATGACACCTCAACAAAAATAATCACCAATCAAAACATTTTATTAATACATATTTTTCTACTTATTTTATTTTTAAACTTAAACCCATTAAATATCTATATATTTTTTTATTATTTTTTGTTTTATTTTTTACAAACCCAAATAATTAATAACAGCAAATAAAAAAATCATTATTTTATTTTTTACCAATTCCAAACCTAAATAATAAATAAAAACAAATAAAAAATTAAATCATTATTTTCTTTTTTTTGCCAAAATCAAATCCAAATAATAAATAACAACAAATAAATAATATAAAAAATTCTAGCTATCAGTTTGTTTGACATAGACGAATATGATTGAAAAAGTGTAGACTCAGCATCAATTATGCTTGCATGACAACAACACAAAAAGCTTTATGTTATAAGAAGCTCACACATCAGCAAAAATTTGAACCGATAAAAACATAACAATTTCTTAGTTTTCGCGGGAAAACACAATTTCACGGGAGATAATGCAATTTTTGGTTTTCGCAGGAAATTATAATTTATTTCTTTTTGTAGGAAAGCGTGATTATGGGGCTTGACGAGAAAATGATTTTTTTTTTGCAGGAATAGACGATTTCTCAATTTTTGCAGGAAAAATAATTTTTTTGATTTTGACAGGAAAATACAATTTTTTTTTGTTTTTGCAGAAAGATGAAATTTTTTGGTTTTTGTGAAAAAATGTAATTTTTCAGCTTTGGTGGAAAAACACAGGTTCTCGCGGGAAAATGAAATTTTAGGTTTTAGGTTTGACGAGAAAATAGATTTCTCACTTTAATGGGAAAATGATATTTTTTTGTTTTGACGGAAAATACGATTTCTCGATTTTTGTAAGAAAATAAAATTTCTCTGTGCTAAATTTCTAAGTTAAAGTATGTTTACAGTAACCAAAATTTAATTATTTAACTTTAACTAAAACAATATTTTAAGAGTTCAAACATAATTTTCTATTTAGTTCTAAAACAATAGCAATGGTTTTGATATGAATGCTATTGATTATAGTTTGGTAGTTTTAGAAACATATGTTTATAATAAAATATTTGATAAATAAATAAATTTTATAATTCAAAATAATCATATTAATTAATAAATCTTTTTTTAAATGACATTTTGCTTTATATAATTACAAAAGAGGATTATGTGACAATTTATTGGAAAAAATAGATTACATTTGCCATTAGCATGAAAGTACTAAAAATGTATTGCTTTATTCTTATATATTTTATTCCTATATATATATATATTTATAATTAGTTAGCTAACTAAATTTAATAGCAAATTATAATTTTGAAAAAAAAATATAATGTTTCTTCAGATTTAAAATATATAAATACATAACTTAAGCTCATACAAAATAAATATAATATTTATTTACATTACAAAAATAATTTTATTATTTTAAAAATATATACAAAATTTAGAAAAAATCTCGCAGCATAGCACGGATTAATACCTAGTCTTCATAATTCTTCTTGCAATTTGAGAGAACAACACGTTTTTTTTGTCAACAACAACACGTTTTTGATGCAATAAAAAAATATTAACTTTTTATTAATTTATAAATATATTATTTGTTGGTAAACTAATTTTAGAATTGACAAAAAATATTAATTTATCCAATATTATTTTATAGAGGTTCTACTGTAATTATCTTTAAATATCTGTAATTATGTTATGTTTGAGTTTAGATTTTTTCTGTAATACAAAATTTTTCAAATGATAATTTTTTTTTTTTTTTTTTTGCAAGTTTACCTTTCATGTCTCAAAAATGCAAGTTAACCCAACTGAAAACCAAATTTTTTGTTTACTATATTATATTTTTAATGTTTTGTTTTTGACCAAATGTTTTTAATGTTTATATGGTATTTATGAAAATATATGAGTAGCTTATTCCAGACGTGACACTGATTTGTTAGAAGTTCTGCAAAATATGTACACCACGCATTCACTAATTGGTTTATTGTAATGGTATAAATTATATATATATATATACATTCATTTCATAAAAAATGTTGTTTTGACATATTTTATGTGATTTAAAGATTTTGTACTACATTTATAAATTATGCATTTCCACTTAATATATCATAAATTAAATGCTAGTGATTTCAATACATACAAATATCCTCCTATTTAATTTGTCACTATATAATTCTGAATTTATTTTGGTTACTTAAATCGAGACATTTTTTGTGGTTTGATTAAAAATTTAAAAGGAAAAAAGTGAATCAATTTTTTTTATAAACTGTTTTTTTGTTTTTATTTTTGGTAACTCTTTTGACACATCACGTTTTTTTTAAAAAAAATTAATTTTATTTTTCGATTTTTGCTGATTTAGTAGACATGTCAGCACTATCAAACAGTTAATTGGCGAAATTTAAGATCAATATATATTTTTAGTCGCTTTGTTAACTTTTATGTATAAAATTTTTAAAAATATAAAGTATTGGTAGATTTTCGCTTAGGTCGGAATCTGGACTGCGACCCAATATTAAGATAGGAATTAGCTGTTATCTCAGCTAATGACTGATACAGTAAAACCTCTATAAATTAATAATGTTAGGATTTTTAAGATTTCTAAAAAAATTATTAATTTATAGTGATTATTAATTTATAAATATATAAGTTGGTTGAGAAACTAATATTAGGACAAACAAAAAATATTAATTTATCGAGATATTAATAAATCGTATATTAATTTATAGAGGTTCTACTGTACATTTAGTAGTAATATACATTAAGATGCATATTGTTAATATATGTAGTAATGACTAATTCACCAAGAAATAATGTGTATTATGATGAATAATAATAACTCTTTTTTAACATTAGCTATTTTTCTCATTTAAATATTAAATATGTTAATTATATACGATATATATATGTGATTACTATGATACGTGTTAAAAAATTTAAAGACAATATTATGATGCTTTTCGAACCAGTTTTGTCTAAGAAAGCAATTTGAGAGAACATAACGAAGGCTTTAACTGGTGACCAATAAAAAAAGAATAGGAATGAAAAGGAAAAGAATGAAAAGAACAAAAGAAAAGAAATGAATAGAAATGAAAAATAAATAAGGAAGTAAATAAATATATTTTGTTCCTCTCCAATTTTAATAAGGAATGCATTTGTTCTATAATTCCTTATATGATAAGGAATAAGAAGGAATGATAGAAAAATATTATTACTAGCAAATGGTAAAAATTTTAAGGAATGAATAGGAATTCATTATTCCCCCTCATTCTCTTGATCACCAGTTGAAGCCGAAATAAAAAAAATATGGAAATGAGCTATAACAAGATTTTAGTTTTAAGGAAAAAACACTAAAATCATATGTTAGTAATTATATTAGGTATGTGTATTTACACTACAAGAAAACATAGCATATTCTCACTGAAATTCTTATTGGAATTCTGACAAATTTAATTTTATTAGAAATCCATTAGTAATTTCTGTCAAATAATTATCAATCAAAATTTAATGGCAGAATTTTAACAAATTTCTGACGGAATATAATATTTATCAGAAATATGTCAGAATATATATATTTAATTTTTTAAGAGAAATATATTTCACCCGCGTAGCATAGTTGTATTAATCTTGTCGAAATTCCGTCAGAAAGTTTTGACGGAATTATGACGGCACTAGATAAATATTCTCAATAATAATTTTTTATCAACCAATGAGAATGCATGCAAAATATTCAGATACATTGGAAATCTGTCGGAAACTTCGAACGAATTTCCGAAAAATCTAAATATTTTAGACGTCAAAATAAGAAATTTTGAAAAAATTGATAAAATCAAAAGTTAAATTTTAACGGATATACCCATCATAAATTTTCCTTTAAAAAGGTCACACCAGATTTTCTTATCTTCATTCTCAAACCCTAAAAAGTTTCTTCAAATCTCACCTCTTCTTCTCCTATCAAACCACCTTTTGCCAAATCCAAAAACATGTAAGTTTTTCATTTTGTTAATTATTTCTTTAGATTGTTAGCTTGTTTAAACTGTTTGTATTTTTATTTTGGAGTGTTTGGATTGTGTTAGAAATTGTTTGTTTGGGGATTGTTAGATTATGGATGGTTAGGTTGTTTGATTTAGGATTGTTAGAATTAGAATTTTTTTTGGTTTTTGATTGTTAGATCTAGGATTGTGTTAGAATTGTTAAATTTAGGATGTTTATATTTGTTGAACAAAAAAAAGGATGTTTATATTTTAGTTTCTCAATAAACATATCATTGTCCAAAAATTTAGAATTTTAACTTGAAATTTTTTGTAACAGTTATAATTATTTTTCTTAGTATTAAAATATTTACATATATATTACTATTAATAAAAAGTTATATAAAACGTTTTTCTTATATATTATTTTTAAAAGTTACCTGAAAATAACATATAAAAACGTTTTTTGTCATACAGTATTTAAAAACTTACATAATCATATTTGTAAAAAAATTATTTTTATAATAGTGTTTAAAACAACTACAAGAAAAGTTTTTAAAACTTTTTCTAATTATAATTTAAAATTGTTTTTATACAAATTATAATTTTCGTCAAAAAACAACTGTCAGAAACCCGTCAGAATAATAACCATCGGAAAACTGTCAAAACAATTTACATTAGAAATCCATCAAAAATTTCTAAATCTTAAATCTGAATCTGACAAACGAAATCCATTGAAAATCTATTAAAGATAGCTAATTCTGACTGATTTCAACGCCAATAATTAGTTATTTTCTTGTAATGTTATGTTTGAGTTTGGATTTTTCTTCAAAAAAAAATCTTTAAAATTTTAATTTTTTCGTAAATTTACTCTTCATGTTTCAAAATGCAAGTTCACCCGACTCAAGGCTATTTTTTTTTACTATACTATGTTTTAAATGTTAAATGGTATTTATTAAAATATATTGAATTGTTGGAAGTTCTGCAAAATATAAATACCACGAACCAATTCATAAAGACATATTCTATGTGAACCACGAACGTTCTGATTTAATTCATACAATTATGCACTTCTACTCAATATATCACAAATTAAATGTTAGTGATTTCAATACATACAAATAATCATGTTTAATTTATCATTATATTATTCTGAATTTAGTTTTGCTAAAATTATTTTGGTTACTGAGATGTGTATGTTGGTTTTAGTTTTTGCTAAGCGATTTTTCATTGATATATAAATGTTAAATTGGGATGTACACAGATAATATGGACATTTTTATTGAACATTAAACAATTAAAACACTGATAACTTTAGAATCGCCAGAACCAGAAAAAAAAAACAGAAAATAAAGGTAAAATTGAGACGATACGAACAAGTTGAATATTGTAAAATGATACATTTTTATTCAATTTATTATATTTTGTATGATCAGCTTACAAAAAGAGTCTACTTTGTTACATAAGAATCTTACAATTGAGGCATAACACCCCCCCCCCCCCCCCCAAAAAAAAGAATCTTACAATTAATAACTTCTTAGAAGTTAAAAAAATGAAGTTAACTGAAAAAATGATTAGTCAACATCATAAAAAAATAACCATCAAATTAAAAGGAAATGAATAGAAGCGAAAACACGTTTATTATAGAACTATTATTGACCTAAGCAAATATTTGCTTGTACGTGGGGTTGATGCTCCTTAGTCTCTCCTCTTCAACGTCTAACAAGTTCTTCGTGACTGCATCCGACGCCATGGCCAGGAACTCTGACCAGTCTCTGCACATTAGGTTCGAGAAACGAATTAAGAAAGAAATAATCGCACTTAAATTAGCAATCACGAATTTGAGAGATGTACAAGTTTTTTTTTTATTTTTCATTAAGCTATGTGGCAATGTATTATGTACGTACACATGTGTGTATATACATGTATATTCAAGTGTACGAAAAAAAACGGAAATGTTTGTAAACCAATTTAAACTTTTTAAGTGTTATGTTTGATGAATCTTTCAAAGCTATCAAAAATATATTGATGTACGTTAGAAGATAATGAAACTAGACATTGCATATACTTGAACATACCCATTAGATGTATCAAACGTGAGTCCTACGGTGTATTTTGCTTCCTCGAGAGCCAATTGAAACCTCTTAATCTCGGCAGCTGAACATGTTGGGTCGTTCTTAACGCAGAGTTCCGAGGGCTTGACGTCGTAAAAGATAGGGATGACTCTCTTCTTGTTCTCCATGAGCATTGCAAGTTCATGGAGACAAAAGTAAGAGTCGCAGTAACGAGGAGAGAAGACAGCGATACCGACACTGCATTCCTTGATTGCTGCATTGATCTCAACGAAAAGTCTGTCTCCGGGCTTTAAACTCTTACTATCCAAAAAAGAATTCAAACGTAGTCTAGTGAAATGATCATATAATAGACCCGAAATAGTCTTCTTGGTATCGATCCCGCGATGGTTGATGAAAACATCACATGGGTTTGTGTTAGGTAGGGTTGGGTGTGTTATGGATCTTGTGTATGCGAGTTTTGAACAAGGTGCTAACAAACGTCTCATCGAGCAATGCTGAAGAAAACGAAATAGTTGGATTTATCAAAAGAATGATTTGGAGAGAAAGAAAACTTATTTTGTTTTGTTTTGTTTTAGAATGTAAATACTAATGGAAGAAGAACTGGTTTTATATTGGTAAGAAATAGATATATGTGTCTCTATATTTATACTGGTTGTAGCTATGATTTTGTATATATTGCAGAAAAAGCTAAAATTCAAGGAAGAATTCAAAGTTCTTTTTCTAACATTTGGACTTCAAGAAAATACGAATACTTGCTTATTAGAGAAGCCCGGGGATCAAATATATTTGACACGAATGATTTTTTTTTTCTCTTTGACTTGCAAGCATTTTTTTGGCTTCTCTCATGTAGTTTGAAGAAAAAACAAGAAACCTTCAAAGACGTATTCTTTTATATCAAAAAGTATTCTTACTACTTTTCCTTTGTTTTATGATAAGTAAAACATCCGGTGAAGCAAAGACGAAGTAAAACATCATTTGAAACGGTCGCCATCCTCAAAACAAATACTTAAATAGTACTCCTAAATGCTACGTTAATGCATTAATAAAATAAAAAACTGCATCAACATATATAAAATAGTAAATTCATACATAAGATAAGCTAAGTTTTAACTATAAACTTGTATCTTTTTCAGATATGTTGTCAAAAAACAATTTCACATGTTATGTATTTTTAAATATTACTAAATTAACTTCTTATATTTGAAGTGATCAACAAAATTGATAATATGATACAATTATATACAGTAGAAACTCTATAAATTAATATTCAATAAATTAATAAACTCTATAAATTAAAAAAAAATTCTAGTCTCAAGTTGTGATGGTTCAAAATATAATACAAATCGATAAGATAATAATTTATTAGAAAAACCTATGTAAATATATGGTTCCATTAGTATTATAAATTAATAATTATCATAAAATACTCTTATATATAAAGATAACTATTATAATTTACTAAATAAAATATGTAATTGTTTATTTTTATTAGAATTTAAATAATGGTATGGTTTATATACAATTTAAAAGTGAAATATTAAAGATAATATTAACTTTTTAAACAAATATTATTTTTAATTAATTATTAATAAATAATTTATATAATTCAAAATTGATAAATTAATATTTTATAAATTAATAAAATATTAAAATCCTAATATTATTAATTTATAGTATTTCTACTGTATATGTTTGCCAAAAAAGACAAAATTTTACTATATCATCTCTCGTTACTATAATTCTACAACATCGAGTCGAATTTACAACAGAGTCTAGACATAAAAAAGCTTATAACAAAATTTCAATACATTAATTTTCAGCATAATTTACAGAAATTTATCAAAAATTAGTGGTGAAATTGTCATGGTTTAATTAAGTTTTTTTTTTCTTTTTGTCAACAGTCATTTCTCTTAAAATGGTTTAGAAAACCAAACCGATAGAATTAAGTCCTTTTTTACATCATTTAAGTCCTTTTTACGTAAAACTATATATGATATAGATAACATAAATTTGATACATAACTTTAAAACCATCTTTATATGCCAAAAAATGTACCTAATTTTTTCACGTCGAATCTTTTTATGGATTATGGATGTCAAATGTATTTTCCACGTTTTATAAAAAAATGTAGTAACCAGTTCTGATTTTCTTGCTACAAATTTAAATTTATCAATTGATAAAAAAGTAAGATTAAAATAGTATAAATTACTTAGCAACCATTGGATACCGCAAGACCGCCATAATAATAGTTATTTTTCACAACGAACATTCCAAAGGTGCTTTACACGTTTTTAATATATAAATTAATCGTTAATTTTATTTTTACCGTACGAAATAAACTTTACAGAAGATGAGAAGAATGTTTGATCTTATGTCAGAACTCATAACCAAAAAAAAAAAAAAAAAACAATCAAATGGTGGTTTATGCTTACGTATGAGAAGTTTGAAAGTACTTAAACCAAACTGTGAGGTGTGAATCGGTTAAACCAAACTGTATGGTGAAAAGTTTTCCTCGTTTAAGTTGCATTTTCTCGCAGATTAACATCGGCTTCTTGAACAATCTCTCATTTTCTATCTAGCATAAGAATTGTATTGAATATATATATGTACCACACTGACTGATTCATAAACATAACTGATCAATCCATCTAATTTATATGATGATCAGTCCTCCATTTTCATTGGAATTTAGCTCGTATAAAACAATTTAAAAATTCTTGATTATGACAGATATTATAAACTAGGAAAAAATATGCTAATTAACTAAAAGAAAAATAATAATGAAAGGTATCACGATCGAGTAGTTGGATTTTCTTTTTTTACCATCGTAATTAATCAGAGTTTGAATAGCAAATGAAACACTATGGTAATGTAATATTCAAGAAAAACAAAAATAGAAGTATAAGACACAATTCGCACATTTCTAAAAATTTTTTTATATATATAAATGCTCTACAAAAACCAAAATGAGGTATGTGCGTGATGTGTAGCATAAGAAAGGCATGACATAAGGCAGTTCGAAAAAAACCTGCCTTTTCTCCAAAATTTAATGCTCATTGGCCGCTCATTCTGGGCCCCACGATTAGCCACGTGTCATTTTCTCATCGGGGGACCCAGTTCGGTACTCGTATGCACACACAAACCTAACACCTATTTCTTCTTGCATCTTATATGATACACACATTCACACTCTCAAAAATCTAAATCCTCTTCCAAACATTTTCTCTTGAGGATCATCATGAGACAGATCATTTTGCTTCTTGGAAATTGAAAAAAAGATCGAGTTGATATGGAAAACATGGGAGATTCGAGCATTAATGGGCCGGGCCATCCACATCTCCCTCCCGGGTTTCGGTTTCATCCGACCGACGAGGAACTAGTAGTTCATTACCTCAAGAAGAAAGCTGCTTCTATTCCACTTCCTGTCTCAATCATCGCCGAGATTGATCTATACAAGTTCGATCCTTGGGAGCTTCCGAGTATTTATGCCTTTCTTTATATATTTCTTAAATTCTTTTGTTTGGTGTTTTGCTTATATATTTATCAGATAGTGATGATCACTTGGTACTTTAAATGGTTTAGGCAAGGCGAGTTTTGGAGAGCAAGAGTGGTACTTCTTTAGTCCTAGAGATCGGAAGTATCCGAATGGAGTTAGACCGAACCGGGCAGCAACTTCCGGTTACTGGAAAGCCACGGGAACCGATAAACCGATATTTACGTGCAATAGTCACAAGGTTGGCGTCAAGAAAGCGCTTGTGTTCTATGGTGGAAAGCCTCCTAAAGGGATCAAAACGGATTGGATCATGCATGAGTATCGCCTCACCGATGGTAGCCTTACCACTGCAGCTAAGCTACCTGACTCAGCCACCACAAGGAAAAACTCACTACGGGTATGCAAAATGATCTTAACATCTATACTAAAAATCAAATTTGAGTCTCCGTATATAGATTCTAAGATATTATATAAGATCATACTATCACCGCATGGAAAATGTATTTTGTTGTTAGTAATCTTAAGCTAATCGATTGTCATAAGAAACACTATAACTTACCCCAAGTATGTTAGTACAATGTGTCAGCAGACCAAAATATGTAATTCACTTTAAATTTCTGACATATGCCAATATTATTATTTGTTGTTAGTCTACAACATTGTTTCACGCGGGATGCTTACACATTTTGTTTTTGTTAGTAAAGTACTAAAGTTCATGATAGTCTACCAATTGAGTCAATGTAGCTAACACGTTTTGATTATAATATATATATATATATATATATATCTATAGTATTATGATATATAGTTTGGTATGTTGATTAATATACAAAAGGTCAAAAAAATTGCAGCTAGACGATTGGGTTCTATGTAGGATCTATAAGAAGAACAGTTCACAAAGACCGACAATGGAGAGAGTATTACTAAGAGAGGATCTAATGGAAGGAATGCTCTCAAAATCATCTGCTAATTCTTCTTCCACATCGGTTTTAGACAACAACGACAACAACAACAATAACAATAACGAAGAGCACTTTTTCGATGGTATGGTCGTCTCGTCCGACAAACGTTCCTTGTGTGGTCAGTACCGGATGGGTCACGAGGCCTCGGGATCATCTTCATTCGGATCCTTCTTATCAAGCAAGAGGTTTCATCATACGGGCGAGCTCAATAACGACAGCTACAATGTCTCTTTTGTCTCAATGCTTAGTGAAATTCCCCAGAGTTCGGGGTTTCATGGAAATGGAGTCATTGATACGACGTCGTCTCTAGCTGATCATGGGGTTTTAAGACAGGCGTTTCAGCTTCCCAATATGAACTGGCACTCATAAATCATAATCCATATAGATATGTATGTATGTACTTATGCACACATAAATATAGTTTACACAGATTATATAGGAATCTATATACTCACATGATCTCACATATGTATACGTATCTGTTTACGTCAAGAAAGGTGTATACGTCTCTTTTTATATCATGGTTGAAAGATGTATACTAATAACAGAAGCCGAATAAGAATATCTTCCTTATAGATAAGTTGAGCTAATTTAAATACGCCACATGTGAATATATGGTTTCATTTGTTTAGTTTTCTTTTATTCTTAAGAAGAGTGAAAAATTGGGTTAAAGATAATTTACTATTTTGTTTTTGGTAAAATGTTAAATTAATAATAACAATTTACTTTTTAAACATGAACTGATTTTTAAACATGATATATCTTCCATGTGTTTTTTTTCTCTGGACAAAAGACAAAAGACAATTTATTATATAAGTAAGTTGAGACACTACGTACATAGACATTATACAAATCTAAGGTTAACAATTATGGAGGATGAATACAGGTTGAGATAAAAAAAAAACAAATGTAGTATTTAAAATCTTAATTGAATAACACCAAATTTTAAAAGTATGATTTACAAATAAAATATCTATATTATGGAATTCTAAGAGATAATTTAAAATCATTAGTTGAATAACATTAAATTGTGAATTTGTATGAATTCTGTTAAAATCCATGATTGAATAACACTTTCTTAGTGTTTTAATTAGAGATGAAAAATAAAATAAATTACTATTGTTAAAGATGAGATTCGTACCATTTCTATAAGCTCGATGTGAATTCTGGTCAGTCCATTCTTCAAGTTTCAGGTCGGTTAATCAAATGGAAATTTTCCATTTATCGAGCAAACCCAGGAAAAAAGAAGTTCCTTCTCGTCGGCAAGAAGACTTTCCTATTCTAAACACACATCGAAGACCGATCTAATCAGCTATAAATATAAATATAGGAAGCTCTCGACTTCTCAGATCATCCAAAAATCATCTATCGAGACCTAGGCCAAACTAAGCAATCTTATTGTTTTAGCTTTTGATTTAGTTTCCATAAAAGTTTAGGTTGGCGTTCATATTCCGACGACCTAAACCTCCGTGTATTCTATCAAGCTCCGGCTTCTTATAATAAAAGACTTCTCTTTAAACCCACAAACTCTAGTTCTCTTATAAATTGAACTTAAGTTTTTACAGTTGGCGCCGTCTAAGGAGAACAAGAGAACAATATTTGACTTAGAACGGAGTTCGAAGATGGTTGAAACACCGATCAACACCACCGACCTCACAGGAGGATCCACCGACCTCACAGGAGGATCCACCGAACTTACAGGAGGGTCCACCGATCTTGCAGGGGGAGCTGCCGATCCAACAAGAAACGACCAGGGTCCAGTCGTCGAGCCAGTCACTGGACTCCTCGTGATCAACGAGACCGATCAGCAAGAAGACACGTCAGGTGCGACAGATCAGGTCGGCCGGACCGGTGGAACAAACCCGACCAACCTGCCACAACCGCCTCCCATCGACATGGCCACCATCATCAGATCGGTCGCAGCACATCTACAGCAAAGAATGGATGCTCGCTTCGAATCCCTTCGTGCCGAGCATATTGCCTACTAAGAAGACTTAGATCTGCTTCTCAACTCCAGGGTTCATACCCAAGAGCAGGCCGATCTAATCACCCCCCCCCCCCCCCCCCCCCCCCCCTCCCTTGCCCTCTGGTCCGCAACACAGATACGACCACGACCAGGCTGGTCAACAACCTGTTCGGCATAACACCGACAGACAACCTGCGGAGAGCACATGTAGAAGGCTCGAATGCTCGCTCATCCCGCAACACCGCAGGTGCCGACCTGACAACAGCCTCAGAACTTGATCTTCTCCACCAACGCCTTGACGATATCCACATCAAGATCCACAAGGCGACGACATCAGCACCAGAGTTGGATAAAATCCTCCAGGAGACCCAGCAGACCTCATTCACGTCGGCCATCACCAACGCTCCTCTCAAGGACATAGTCCGGATGAAGTTACCTCCAAGTTATACCGGTACGACAGACCCAAAGCGACACCTGACTGCGTTCAACACAGTAATGAGACGAGCTCGCTTCACCGACGAGGAGCAAGAAGCATGCATTTGCCAGTACTTCGTGGAAACACTCTCCGGCAGCGCCCTCATCTGGTTCTCGCAGCTTCCCAAAAATTCCATTGACAGCTATAAGGAGCTGACAGCTTGGTTCCTTTAGCATTATTCGATTTATATCGACACGGAGTCCACGGCGCTCGATCTATGGGCGTGCGTCCAGGGTGACACGGAACCGCTACGCGATTTCATTGATCGGCGATCGTTTCCCGATGCAGTTTGTCGAAGGAGCTCTCCCTCAACATCCTTATCAAGAACTTGAAAGACGATTTGTCGTATTGCGAGCGACTGAAAACAGGAAAGACCAAAACCCTAGAAGACGCTTTACATAATGCAACCGGCTATATCAGGGTAGAAGAGGATCGGGCAGCCAAGGCCAAGGCCAAGTTGGCCGACGAGAAATCTTCGCGCGACAAGAAGGCCAGATCGTCGTATCAGGACGATTACAAAGAGCTCCGTCAGCACTACGACAAGGATGACAAGAATCGTAAGAGTATCAACGCCGTCAGACGACCGAAAAAGCCATGGAACGTTTGGGATCGTTCGAGCGACAGAGACCCCGATAATAAGAAGCTGTGGTGCAACTACCACAAAGCACACGGCCATCATACCGATGACTGCCGTACCCTCCCAGCCCTCTTGAGAAAGGCGTGGAAAGATGGCGAGTGCACCATACCTGAACCCCAGAGTTCTTCACGACGATCCGATGATGATCATGACAGGGGATCCGATGGCGATCGAGATAGAAGAACCGATGCTGATCGAGATAGAAGAGCCGATGCTGATCGCCCGTCCTCTAAACGCGAAGGCAAGGAAGCAAAGCGTGACCGTGAAGACGATCACACACCCCCGAGCTCACCACGTCGACGGATCAACATGATCATGGGAGGGCTTCTCTTGTGCACCGACTCGATCAATTCAATTAAATGGCACGAACAGAAAGCAGCCAACCCCCGAAGGACGCCCCACCGATGTTCAAGGATGATCTACCGATCACATTTACAGAGCAAGACGCGCAAGATATAGACCGACCTCATAACGATCCACTCGTCATCTCACTACGGCTCGAAGAAGACGACGTCTCCAAAGTGCTGATCGACACTGGAAGTTCGGTCGACCTCATCTTCATGGATACTCTATGCAAGATGAGTATCTCTGAGCGGGATATCAAAGTTGCGCCATCACCTCTCACCGGGTTTGCTGGAGATTCGATCTCCACCATAGGAACTATAACGATGCCTGTCACCATACGCGGGAAGTCAATTACGGTCAAGTTTAAAGTTATCGACCGACCTGCAATCTATATTGCCATCCTTGGAACGCCCTGGCTGAATGCCATGCGGGACGTCTCTTCTCCTTACCACCAATGCATCAAAATGCTGATTAGGGGCCGTGTCATCACCATCCGTGGCGATCAGAAAGTGTCCCGACATTGTTACATCGATAACAAGTGCACCCGCAAAGCATCAACGTTCGTGATCGGCAATAGCAGCAACTCCGATCCGCAGATTATTCATCATGACGAGAAGCCGAAGAGCGATCTCATTGTCCAAGTCAACATCGATGCTGCTCACCCGGAATGTTGCATCGGTATCGGCACGGAACTGTTGCAGGACGAGCTGATCAGTTTCCTCCAGGAGAACGTCGTAATGTTTGCGTGGTCCATGGCCGATATGAAGGGCATTACCCCCCAATCACAAATCACAAGTTGAATGTCGACCTCACTTTCAAGCCGATCAAGCAGAAGCGACGGAAGTTAGGACCTGAGCGAGCACAAGCTGTCCACGATGAAGTAGATAAACTGCTGAAGGCCGGATCGATCGCCGAAGTCAAGTATCCTTAGTGGCTCGCCAACCCGGTGGTAGTCAAAAAGAAGAACGGGAAATGGCGAGTCTGCATGGACTTCATAGACCTCAACAAAGCTTGTCCCAAAGACAGTTTTCCTTTCCCTCGCATTGATCAGCTCGTCGAGGCTACCGCGAGCAACGAACTACTCTCCTTCATGGATGTATTCTCGGGATACAACCAGATTCTCAGGAATCCAGATGATAGTGAGAAGACCGCATTCATCACAGAACGAGGAACCTATTGCTACAAGGTCATGCCGTTTGGTCTGAAGAACGTAGAAGCCACATATCAGCGCCTCATCAACAAGATGTTTGCCGATCAGCTCAGGAAGACGATGAAGGTGTATATAGACGATATGCTCGTCAAATTGGCTAAAGCAGCCGATCATATTGTCCATCTGCATGAATACTTTCTCATACTCATCAAGTATGGCATGAAGCTCAATCCCGCAAAATGCACCTTCGTAGTCACATCCGGCGAATTCCTAGGATACTTGGTCACTCAGCGCGGCATCGAAGCCAATCCTAAGCAGATCTCTGCGATCCTGGAACTACCCTCGTTAAGAAATACTCGCGAGGTTCAGCGCCTAACAGGAAGGATAGCCGCACTGAACAGATTCATATCTCGATCCACAGATAAGTGTCTGCCCTTCTACCAACTTCTACGAGCCAACAAGCGATTCGAATGGAACAAATAGTGTGAAGACGCATTCCTGCAGCTCAAAACCTACCTCTCAACACCGCCGATCCTGGCCAAACCTGAGTACGGTGACACTGTCCGCTACTCTACATAGCGGTTTCCAGCGCGGCAATCAGCGGAGTCCTGGTTCGAGAGGACCGTGGGGGAGCAGAAGCCGATCTTCTACTTCAGCAAAACCTTGGACAGAGCTGAGACTCGCTACCCAACCTTGGAAAAACTCGCTCTCGCAGTGGTCATCGCTTCCAGAAAGCTGCGACCTTATTTCCAATCTCATTCCATTGCCGTCATGACCAGCCAACCTCTTCGATCGATCCTGCACAGCCCGACACAATCCGGCCACATGGCAAAGTGGGCCATCGAGCTTTCCGAGTTCGATATCAAATATCGAACGCGGACCTCCGCGAAATCACAAGTTTTGGCAGATTTTTTGATCGAACTGTCACCGGAGCTCTTGAACGCCGACCCGGAAAATTCAGAGATGTGGACACTACACGTCGACGGAGCATCGTCGCGCTTAGGAGCTGGTAT